GATACAAACCACTCTGGCGTGGTACGCTAACTCGAGCATCAAATACAGCACTCTTCTCCTGGTGCCGTTCTAGGTAAAAGACCTTCGGTGGCAACTCGAGGATCAACGATGGCTTCCTGCTCCGCCAACCCTCTCGTCCTACAATCGCATGTTTGCCGATCAGTCCCACGAACGGAACCGCTACGTATCAAAAGTGTAAACCCTTTCTAGCGGGGGGCGCCTGTAGTGACCTACTTTTATCAAGAAAACGCGACTGGTTTAATGAAAACAATTATTATTATAACCAATTGTACCAGTAACACTTTTACTGTACTTGTTTGTTTAACTGTACTAAAGACATTCTAGCTTCTGTTGACTGTGACCTTGCACGCACTTACGTTTGCTCAGTGATTCCGCTTGTACTCCTTTGGCACGATCTCGGTATTCTTTTGATACCACGAGATCGCCAACAAATATATCTCGCTACAACCTCCAATCGCCTTCTGATATCTGGTACGCAACCTTCTTGTGGTGGTGATCATCGTCAACAACGACTCGACGCCACACTACAAATGTTTGTTATACGATCAAGTTTATTCACGTGATTCGTGTCCGTTTTGTCATGCTATATGCTTATAGTGTAATAAAATTTGACACATCAAGTCGGTTTGTGAAACTACTGTTCGTTTCGCCATTGGAGATAGTGAACCTCTAAGTTAGGATTTTATCAAGTTGGGAGTTTTTTACGATAGTTTTCTTACCAACGATTTAGCAAAGTAACTCTCATATTCAGAAGCGATTATATATCTCCCTTGGTTCATTTTGCGAATTTATTGTCGACCCAGACAATATAGATTCCATTACCTAATCCAAGAACCTAAATTTCTACAGAAATACGTCTACTAGTGAATGCTGATTAATATTGTTACCGTTTTATTCTTGATGTTTCCTACTGTGATAAGTGTTTTTTTCAAATTTTTACATGCAACTCAAATGGGGTGAAGAACAAAAGTTATGCCTACAAAGTCCATAACAGTTTATTCAAAGTTATGCTTTTTTCTAAATTACTCTCCCACTACATATTCTCTACTCATTACTGATGCACCACATGTGGGTACTGGTGGAACTTTGGAGCAGGAAACTAGACCAGTAATTTGTATTTCACGCGAACTTAGTGTTGCTAAAAAAAGTTATTCACAAAATCATTGAAAAGCATTATCTGTGTTTCGGGCTGCTAGACGATTTCATAAGTATTTATTTGAAAAGAAATTCACTATTGGTACAGATTATTAGGCTTTGAGGTTAATTTGCCACCTGGAAAATCATCAGCACGTTCCTCAGCTGCTATAGTTGAACGATGATGTATTGCCTTGAGTGCTTATGACTACACGGTTCAGAACAAGAGTGCTAAAGGAATTCATCATTACAAGATAAACATGTTAGTACTGCTAACTGTCTGTCAGTGCAACCTTTACCGGTGAGACGTCTAGATATGATTAGGAAAACTCGTAGATAATCTGGATGTATACTCAGTTTTATTCAAAAACGTCGGAATGCTGATCTTAAACATATATATCTTGTCTATTTTTCAAAGCGAGATATGTTGTCAACTGCATCTTGAAGATCTCGATAATGAAGAACTGGGTGCTGAGAAAATGAAACTCTTGACAAGGCTCACAAGTTAGTGACCGGGGATAAGTGACTATTGTTGAAGATGTTAAACGTCAAAAAACCGTCCTTTGAAGTGTATTCTAAGGCCAATATCGTCTGAGGCCTGGCAGAGAATTCATACAGACTATTTTGGTCCATTTCTCGGCAAATACTATGCACTTGTTGTCATTGGTTCTTTTTCTAAGTAGACTGACTTTTTTCCACAACTGCACTAAATACTGATTTCACAATCCAAAGATTAAGAAGGGTTTTTAGTTGGTAGAGTTCCTATGGCATTAGTGACTGATCTTGCTGAAGACGCAGTCACTAAGTGGTTGAACGGTGTAGGATGCAGACACCTGTTCACTGCTCCCAGACGTCCTTGTTCTAGTGGTCAGACAGGAAGTGTCGTCGGGACATTGAAATTTTCTATTAATTCTATTGCTGCTATTAATTATATATATAATCCTCAGAAATTCAGATCTCACTTATCCACGAAAAACCAAAATACGAGACCTGACCTTTAAATATTAAGAAAATACCACTCTTTTGTAGACAGATTTTTTTCAGTGATCATTACTTAAATTTATGCAGACATAAACAAATATCACACTGATCAAATACGATAATAAGTGAATATATGACAGAGATCATTAGAATAAAACCGAACGTTACAATGAAGAAATGTCATGCTGAATTAATTTCTAATCTCACTTTTGATCACTTCCTACGGAAGTTATATTGAATAATGGACCAGACAAAGACTTCTGAGACATATAAATAATTTGTTAAACCCTCTGGAACGTGGTTGATATGTCTAGAATGTTACAACTAACATGTATTTAGTCGCACATGAAATATTAGATTCAGAAATCGACCCTTTTATTTTAAATATTTAATATTCTTAAATGAATTTAATGATCAGAGACTGAAATGACAAAATGGCTTTCTGAACTCTATTTAAAAAACTAAAGAAATATTAACTAATTCCACTCCCTTACGGTAGGTTAAGAAGATATCATGGTATCGTATTTGTTTCTTCCATTTATACCCATGCTAATCACGAAGAATATTCCCAAAAAGTTCAAAGGCTAAGATCAGATCGTTCACCTTTGGAATATTTTTCTCCTACGAAGTTGTGAATGACATAAATTATCTAAAAAAGCATACATCATGTCCACTCACCGTTGGTACATTCCACGCTAAAAAGGATCTTAACAGAAAAAAGTACTTAGCCTACTATCCATTCTGCTGAAAACTACAAAACAGTTTACACACTATTTTAAGACCGTGTTATTCAATTATTAAATATTTTCTTTACAATGTGTTTCTTAAGATGATACTGAATTAAACAGTAATATATTGCTTTCTTTTTAGAACATATTTTCACCTTTACAGATATCTCAACTACCTTAATCCTGTTCGGGAACCATTTGGAAAGTTGAGTTATTTAGTGCCTATCAAATAAAACGACAAATAATGTAGTCGTTTCCCAAATTAAAAAGTTCATACAATGGCTTGCCAGACCTTTTTAGTTGTTATTTCCATTTTCCGTTTACTTCCGGTAATGACGTTGTATGTCGAGATATAATTCGATTAATGAATAAGTCGAATTTGTAGCATATCTGATTACAAAGGGCAGAGGGTTGAGGTTTAGGTACACACTTATTTAATCCATTCTCGCACTTCGACTGATGAGTTGTAATTATGATTATCAGATTAAAAATCGAATTTATCAGCATTCTCAATATGGAGTTGTGGAGGTTGTTGAATTTAATCGATATCATGAACCGATAAGTTAGAACACTGGTGCAAACTTGGAAGCACTGAACGATCATTTCATCCCAGTATGAAACTCTTCATCAGTACGCATGCACGATCCAGAAATTGGGATTAAAACATAAAACCTTCGATTTTACGCACAAACGCTTAACCTCACTATTTATTGATTCGGTCTTTTAGGCGAAAACCATATTTTGATTGAGATCATGAACCGATTGATGTTAGACCACCGTTGGAAACCCGAAAGCACTAGACGGCCGTTTCGTTCTGCCTTGGGACTCCTCAGCAGTGAGCACCCACGATCCCGCTCGGAGGATTCGAACCCAGGACTTTCGGTTTCGCGCGCGAACGCTTAACCTACTGGACCACTGAGTCGGCATACAATGGTGATAGTGTCTAACATCAACCAATTCACGAAATTGCGTGACCATCTTCCAATGTACTGAGGTAGACACCTGTGTCTCTACCTGACATATTCATAGTTATTCAAGTTGTAGAATTAATTTATGTAAGTAACAAGTATATCATCTTTTAAAAATCTTTTCACTTTACAAAATCCTTTTCAATCCTTGTTTATCTACTGTCAGTTAACAATATTAAATAAGTCTACTAGTAATTCTTTCAAAACATGACCAAGTAGTAGGAAACGAGACAAAAAACACCGAGTATGGGAAATTTTTAAAAAAAATCATAAAATCACTGCCACTTTTATTCAGTTATGTTTCGAGACCAGTTTGTTTTTCTTTACATAAATTTGTTTCCTTAACAACATAACTGAAAATTAAAAAAACAACAACAGACAAATAGGTAGAGAAAACAGTAATTATCAAACATGAGAGTAACTATATGAATGTTACAATGAAAAATATAACCAAAACACATGGATACAAAATAATCCTTTTTTTCAAATATCATACATCTCTGAAAAATATTAAATACATAAGAAGAAAAAAAGAAGAGTGAATCAATAAACAATATAAATATATGCGTTCATATTTCTATCTTTTCTAGTTTTATATCCAATAATAAAATAATATTACTCAAACAACTTATGATAAATAGAAAGTAAATGATCCTATTCATCATTCTGTTCAAGGACTGGAACAACAACAACAACAACAAAAAAGGAAATCGATGACAAAGAGACAAATGATAAAATGAAATATTAAAGTGTTTTTATACAATTTTATTGAAATTAAGGATGGTACAGATATGTGTATATCACAATGGGATGTCGAAATGCACACACACACACACACACACATACATACATACATACACGTGTATGTGCAATCGAGTTCACGAACTTTGACTGTAAAGTTGTTGTGTTTTGTTTTCTTTTAAAAAAGCAATTGAGAAATATGAGATGTAAAAAAGGAAAAGATAAATGATAAATTGTGCATAAATCAATAAATCATGTACCTGAATGATGTACATGTATGGGTATGAAAAAAACAACCAACAAATGCAGTATCAATGAGATTTATAAACATCAAAGATAGAAGTAAAGTGCATATCATTGTAAAGTTATGGTATTCAATCATTGAATTAGTTAAATAATTATAATAAAAAAGAAAAACATATCGATTTTAAAATGGCGGATTATGTTCATGAAATACAATTGGACTGTAAATCCATTCACCAATCGGATGTTTTTCATTACACATGAACCAGGATAGGAATAAAGGACAGTCGGGTAGAATAAATATACAAAATAATGATAATAAAAGAAATATAAGAGGTAATAACAATAATAGACATGGTAGTGATCGACAACAACGTCTTCTTCTCTGTGATTTATTCTTTACAGTAATAATTTTGCTAGAAATAAGAAAAAATGTCAAAAGTTTAGTGAAGAATAATACAGAAGGTATGGTATGACGAAAAATCAGGTCTTTTCAAACAAACAAGAAATTGAGTTTAACTAACATAGTCTATAGATATCAAACACTGATATCTAGCCAACCATTTTGATCATTGTTTCGTATGTCAGTATCGTTGGAAATATGGATTATATTCAGTTAGAAGTTGTTAACGAGAGTAAACTATTGACAAGCTTCATGAGATAGGCTAATGGTTCTTCAAATGATATGGATGTAGAAAGAAGGAAATCATTTGAGTTTTTGTGTAGGGAAATTCGATATTGCATTCTGAAGTTCGGGTGAGGTTCTCATTTCTAAGATACAACTTATTATCGATACGGTCAGATTATTAATATAGTAACACTAGTGGACACACTTGTTATTAACTAACTTTATTGATTTGATATGTATCCCGACGAGAATAATCAATGGTAACTATTGTGATCTATTTATGGACTAATACTATGCATATATTTTTATTCTATAACTGTTAAGTAACTAAACTATGTATATTTATAATTCTCTTATAATAAGCTTCATTTTGACCTATAGAATACAACTTAACGATTTACCGTTCTTAAGTTATGCGCGATTTATTGATTAAAGTCTCCCACGATCACAGCCACTTTTTGGTTAGATCTTGTACAAATGTTATTTTCTACTTTATGGTGTGATGTGGTCCGTTTATTTTGTATATGAACACAGTATGTCTGTAATGATTCATATGGTGGAGGCTGAGAGTTGTGTTGTGGACTCAACAGGTAGGGAGAAGAACCGATAAAGACTCTAAACTGCTCGTACTGGTTTATGCGTCATTGGTCCAGTCCATAAGTCACTGTTCTCTAGTTGACAGTATCATTACGTTATATATTGATAGGGCACACGGCCACGAGTTATAACATGGTTAAACAAAACGGGAAAATTTGAAAATTTCTGAAGGGCATATATTCGATCATATTTGGAAGCTAATCTCTACACTAATCTGTTGATTTAAATCAGAGTAAAACAGTTGACTGAGAAAAGCTAGTCATTTGATATCACTTTATCATAAAAAGTGATTATTTACTAGTAAATTTTCTGATTAACAAACATTTGAGGTTGCTAAAACTTTCCAGTTCAAAGTATTTTGTGGCTAGTAAAGTTGCTATAACAAAACATAAATAATTAATTATTTATTAGATGAAGTGGATCGCGCTAAACAACTTGAATAAATAGTACAGATGGGCTTGCTTCTCCTGACCCATATGTTTTCATATTACGTGGTGTGTGACTGCTAAAATTTACTGTTCATTAAGAATTCAAATTTAACTATACGTTTTTACAGATTTAAATCATGAGTCAGTTGGAGCTAGACCACCATTGAAAACCTGGAAGCACTGGACGGCCGTTTCGTCCTAGTATGGGACTCCTCAGCAGTGCGCATCCACGATCCCGCACCACGCGAGGCTCGAACCCAGGACCTACTGGCTTCGCGCGAGAGCACTTAACCATTAGACCACTGAGCCGGCATCCAACGTTTTCCAGGTTTTCAATGGTGGTCTAGCTCCAAATGACTCATGATTTAAATCTGTGAAAATTTCTAAAATCTCCACAAACCCCTTCTGATAATAATCATCTGCTCACTAGTGACTGACTTCAAGAGATACTCCTGGAGTTCTAGTGGGAAGCCGTTACCAGTGGAGTTCAACCAGGTCTGTTATGAGATATCAGCTCACTGAAGACAATGGTATATGGTGGCGCAACTTCGTGGATTGGTTGAAGTTAGACATTAACACCGTTGGATGCCGGCTCAGTGGTCTAATGGTTAAATGCTTGCGCGCGAAGCCGGTAGGTCCTGGGTTCGAGCCCCGCGTGGTGCAGGGTCGTGGATGCGCACTGCTGAGGAATCCCATACTAGGACGAAACGGCCGTCCAGTGCTTCCAGGTTTTCAATGGTGGTCTAGCTCCAACTGACTCATGATTTAAATCTGTGAAAATGTCTAAAATCTCCACAAACTCCTTCTGATTATACGTTTTTAAGCAATTTAATTTTCTATGTGAAATGGTTAAATGATTTGTACTAATTCGTCTAATAATAAAATGAATAAACTGTTTAATATTATTATTTAGACCATGTGGTAGAATAGGTAGAAATCTGAAGTAAAGAAAAATCTCATTCATAAGCCGATAAGTTAGAATGCTAATTCCCCATTAATTCATTTTTTCTCGACATTAGGTGGTTGGATGTAGTTGGGAGGGAACTCTGGACAGGGATTTTAGGTTAGTTAGCATTTTTTCAACATGAAGTAACCGGAATTTTGAGGAGAATGGTGCTTCTAAAAAGGGATGAACCTGGATCACTCAGATGTACAGTCTTAGATCACTCGGCTAGTTTAGGGAAAACATTTCAAAATGTGAGAATTGGTGACACTGGATCGAATCCCACAGGGAACATCACTTCTGTTAACAATTCGGGCAAGCCTTCCTAAAAAGAACCAACTAGCCCGAAGTCCGAGGTTTCTTCTCAACTGCCTCCAATCATCTAACATCAAAACGTAGTGTACCCCTAATCGAGTCACTTGAACTATTGACCGAACATCAGAGGAATTAGATCAACACTTCAGACTTGAAAAACGTGACTTTGCTTAATACCTAAGGATCAGTCAATTTAATCCATTTCTTATCATCTATGAAACATCTATTTATTCTTCAAAACATAACATCAACCCATGGTTGCAAGTATCTATGAGTTCATCAATAATGAGCATTTTCATTAGGCGTAAATTCACGAATAAACATGCAATCTAACACATGTTACGTTGATAAAGTATTTATTATATGCCTATTTGATTATCATTGATTTCGTTCATTTCTTTTTTATTTTATGTTTCTTTCTATATCACTTTCTCATAACCATTATCCCTTCATAAACACATATATTTGAATCTAAATAAATTTCGGTTTAAACACTTAATGTTTTCAATAGTTGAAATCATGAGTCAATTGAAGTTAGACCACCATGGAAAATCTGGAAGCACTGGACGACCGTTTCGTCCTAGTATGGGGCTCCTCAGCAGTGCGTATCCACGATCCCGCCCCCCGCGAGATTCGAACCAAGGACCTATCAGTCTCGCGCGCGAGCGCTTAACAATTAGATCACTTAATGTTTTGTATATTTAACGTTACTTACATAATGGAATGTATTATTCGGAATAGAAATATATTATTGTAATTACAAATCACAATATAATGAATCGCCAAAGAAACAAACAAAACACTTCATCATATGGTAGCATTTCTGAAATGATTTTTGATAATATGCACAATATAAGTTAGCTTATCATTAGCTATTTGATGTATCAGAAAAAAAGATTGAGGAAATGGTGACTTCCTGAACTATTTTATGAATTATCATTACTATTGTATATTCTTATTGCATAATCATTAGGTAACACGATTACTATGTTCTTATATTCTGCTTACTGTAAGCTTTCGCTCTATCCATTAACCATTATTAGACTACTTATTATTCCTATTTTATTGCCAATCATATGTTCAGAGCCACTTTTAGTTTGTTTATGTTTCAATTTACGGTGTGCTCAGGTCTATTATGTGCTGTACATAAACCCACGTGTATTTGAAATACAATGTAGTGGGTAATGGCTTCTGTCTTCACTTCGAACTCAAAGTATGGGGTTAGAAAAAAATTTTGCGGATGGAAGATCAATTAGGAATGTCACTCAAATTACCTCAAGGTTAACTGAGCAGGTCAAAACTTATAACTGATTGGCTTTAGGACGCTAGGCTATAGACAGAATAGTAAACTTGAGATAGAGGAAATTATAGTCAGAATTCTGATAGGTGAATTTCGCACGTCACATCGATTAGCGCCCCAAGTAATAACACCATTTGACCTCATTCTATGTGGAATTTCATAGTTTTGAAATTGATTTTTTTTCATCAATTAATTGTTAGATACGTTAACAGTGAACATTGAAGTAGCCAATATGACGTTCAATATAAATGACAAATAAGTAAGCCAAATTAAAATTAAGATAAGTATTGAGAGGGTATGAACTCACCTTCCATGTAAGTCAGTTTCACGAGCCATATTTATTGACATTGCCTACAAAAAATTGTGATATTTGGTGAAAATGAAGAAAAATCGAATGACTTTTGATGCAGGTCACACTACTGATGACTTGCAACGTACACTCAAGAGACCATTGTAAAAGAGAACAGAATGAAACTTAATCATTTAATGGGAGTAATTATAGGAACTATCTCACTTGTAGGTAGTTTTGATCGCGGACTAACCTTAGACGGAGGTTCATTGAAGACTAAAGAGCACCGAAACCCGTCAACCAGAGAGGATCTATGATTATGATTACTCAGGGTCTGGAAGCTACCAGCATTTTGCTTGACTGCCAGATCGCTGGGTTTCAGCACAGAAGTTCATATCTCAAACTTTAGTCAATCTCTAATATAGCGCGGTCATCATCCAAAGCCACCGTTAAGTAATTGTCTCGTTCTCGAAATATTTGAACTACATTGCTCACTAGAAATTCAAGAATCTGTCTCAAAAAGGTGTACTAATGTGCACAAAATGGTAACTTGGTTTGGAAATTAGTAGAAAGTGGTTCGATTTCTAGATGACTTTTGTCACGAATTGACATAAGCTAGCATATTATTAAAAACTAAGGAACGTTGGATAGCCGTTTAGTGCACAAATTAGTCTCCATAATCCTCTAAACAATACTAGAATGATGACATAGAAGCGAGACTTCATAGTCATCTTGAATAAATCATCAATCAATCAGTAACTCGGAAATAAGCGAAGAGAGATCGCTGAGTTCCGTTGCTTTCGATCGGTAATTATTGTTATCTTTCAATGTCATTAGAAGAAATTTAAGCTCACGAATATCTCATTTTAATTAAGAAATTTCATGTATCAGTAGAGAGTTTTGTGGAGATTATAAACCTTCCATAATTTTAAATTACGAACTGATCTTATTTAGACGACCCTATACTGATAAGAATCATGTTCTCACTAGCGACTATTTTCAAGATACAATTACTAGAGTTCTGGTGAGAAGCCATGACCAATGGAGTTCAACCATATCGAATGTAGAACAGTTATCCATTACAGGTAATGGAATATGGTCACCCAGTATAGCGGATTGGAGATAGATATATACAAAATTGGATTTCAGCTTATTGATCTGAGGGTTAAGTTCGCGCAAGAGACAAAATGTCCTGGATTCGATTTTCGAATGTTACGTCATGAATGTTCATTACCGAGGGGTCTCATACTAGGAAGAAACGTCCATCCAGTTCTCCCAGGTTCTCTGTGATGGTTCGACTAAAATCCATTCATAATTAATAATCTATGAAAATTACATCTACCTAACACATTTGACATCAGACGTGAAGTGTTTTTAAAAAAAATATTAATAACATAGACTAAATTGCTAATTTCACCATTATTACATAAATAAATCCAAATAAATTACAATTTAACTCACTTGCTGTTCTCCTCTAGATTCTAAACAGTTTTTATTAGTGATTAATGAGTCACTTGTCAATCTTTCAGAATTGAATATATCAGGTAATAAGTTTACTTGATCATGAATATCGTTATTAATTCTCTTACAGTCAGATGATTTCTTATTCAGATCATTATACTGATTCATCATGGGGATTTTGCGTAAAACATGAACATTTTCTACTCTATATACTTGTGGATGTTTTGCGTGCTCAGGAAGATTATGTTGACGATTATGTTTATCATGATATTGATGATTATAAATATTTTTATCAAGATTCTCATCATTACTCTGATGATAAACATGTTCTGATTGATTGAGAAAATTGTTTTTCAATAAATCAATTTCACTGTATTGATTAGAAGTATTCATCAGATTGTTTACTGACGATTCTTTCATTTGTATCCCTTTTTTATATACATGGTGTTTGATATCAATGAGAGGATTATTCAAATATGCCATTTGATATGATGTATCAGTTAACGGGGATTTAGATTGTTCAATTTCCTTGGTATCAGGTTTATTTTTGAATAAATATGAATCACCATTATTTTTGTGTGTTAGTTCCAATCTGACTGAAGTATCAGTTTTTCTTTTCTCATTTTCTATCGATATGACTGATGGATCATGAGTAGTTAAACAACTCTCAGTATTTTGATCATATAAATTTGTACAACCAATCAATGTAGGAGATACTAAAAGACTTTCAGTATTTGGTCTACAGTTGCAATGTTGGTGATCAGAAGTATCGAATTCATTCTGATCAGTATAATCTGGTTGAGTTTTGTTATGGCCAGACCTTATTTGATATTTTTCAAATAAACCAGGTTTTAATGATATTGTTGTCGGGATTTCTGTAGTCAATATTTCTTGTGTAGATGGAGAATGTGACGTTGAATCATTATCTAGTTTGGAACGCCGCTCAGATTGTACAGATATATTCGATTGTTTGTTATTGAAACTCTCAGGTTGACTTATTGGAAAATCTTCGGTGGATCCATTTATTTCTGTGGGTTTTTTCAGGTTGCCAGTCATTACACGTTTAATTCGATGATTATTTGCAGCCTTCCGGTTTGCTTTACGTAACTTCTTGTTAGCCGTTGTAAATTTATGCGGATCGTTTATTGGTTTATTTAAATTAGATGTGAGTGAAGATGGTGAACTCACACTATTATCAGTATTATTACTGATAATCTTGATAGTTGTTTTCACAAACGCATCTGTATCCGACTGTGGTGGATTAACTTTGGACATTGGGATGCCATCTTTTAACTGATATGAACGAATTCCATCTTTGGTCGTTTTAGAGACACTCGATGATAGACATTCATAATCTTTATTGGATTTATCGTGTTGAACAAAATCCATAGGGGGAAAATGATGCTTGTCTCTCGATATGTTATCACTTATTTCCTCACTATCATTTTCCGCTTTATCATTGTTATTTTCTGTGTTTTCAGTAAATTTTGAAGAATGACTAGTTTCAATATTCCGATCTCGATTTGTGTTACTTTTAACTAATAATTTCGCTGATTCCAAACTTATGCTAGTTGGATTATCCGTACAAATTTGCTTGTTTGTTTTATTTGTTTGTGCATCTTGTTCAGATTTTAATGCAGTGCACACCTCGACAACAGGTGGAGTTTCTTCGGGACTAAATGAAGTATTGCAGGTAATATGAGGATAACTTTTATCATTTTCTTTCAACAATCTTGTATCTGGTAAAGCAACACGTATAGGCATTTGCTTATCATTATGATGAGAACTTTTCAAGTTACCATCGACAGAATGTCTGTCACATTGATTAGTTACTGCGTTTGAGTCTGTTACTGATATTGGATTATTTAACTGTAAAGTAACGCATGGTGATGAGTTATCTGATTTGTTTGGGTGACTGATCATCTCATCTGATTTGAGTATTGCTTCCAGATCACCGCCATGCTTCACTGTATCATTGATGTTAGTCAGGTCATTTGTTTCTGTTGATTCATTGCCTAAACTAGTCATCCGATTATCTTCGCTTGAAGACCAGCATAAGTTATTACTCAGCATTACTTTATTGTTTTGAATTACATAATTTTTTACTTCATCAGATTCTTGTACGAGAATCTGACTAGCATTACACGACCTTGTTCTGTTTGGAACTGAAGAACTAGAATATAGTGATAGGTTTAGTTGCTCATCAGAATGGTTGACTCCATCAATATCTATATCGTTTTTTAACATTTGATCACCTAAAAGTGTGTTATCTATCATTCTCGGTAAGTATGTTAAAGCACAGGGTTTGTTATTCACAATATTATTATTGCAAGTGTCTTTACGATTGACATCACCATTATCATACTTCTCCGAAAACTCTTCATCTCCTAACTTACGTTTTCTAGTCTTCTTAATTCTATCTTTTCGTGTTGTTATTTGATTAGTTGGAGGAATATCTTCTTTAAATTCAGAAACTTTCGTCGTACGAGTAGTTTCCTGAGTAAACGTTTTATCAGTTGAACTTATACTACTAACTACTTTACCTGTAATATTCTGAGGCAAATTACACAAATATTGTTCAAATGACATTTGATCGAAATTACTTAATTGTCCATCTGTTTGTTCTTTATCTTTATATGTTTTTTCATGGATGCTAGTCGTAGTAACAACAGTGGATGGTTTATGCACACTGTCTATTTTCGTTATTTGAGTCTGGAATGAATGATTCATTTTTTCATTTGGAAAAGTAATCAGTGGCTTTAATGATGCCGGTTGCTGTAGTGACAGTTGCACAGTATGTTGATCATCAAAATCACACGAAAATAATCTAGTCTTCAGGTCATTTAAATATTCATTTCTAGATGATTTATTCAACCTTACATTTGAATCTCTTCGAATATAGGATGAATTATCTTCATCTTGGATTGTTCGTGATAAATAGAAACTCTTATCATCATTATTATCAATATTTAAATCACTTTTCATTGACTCATTATCTTCATTTTCAATATCATGCAGTAAACCTGTGAATAATGATTTCAAATGCTCCACTTGAATTTCATTGTGTTGTATAAGGCTGATAAATAGTGTAAGCCAACGTGTTTGTGATATATCAACACCGGATTTAGAGGAGTTTGATGAACGTAGACATAGAAAATCATGTAATCTACAATTCCATAAATTTAGCAAATCAATCATTGATTTATATACTGGTAAATAAATAGTTTTATATACCGTAATAGAAACTAATGGCTGGAATGAATCAAGTTCTGATTTAATTTCACATAGAATTGATAAATATTCTTTAATTATAGGTGACCAATAGGTGGATAAAGATGAAATTGATGATGATGTTAATGTGAATGATTGTACATCGATAGGTAACAGATTGGATAGTCGATTTTGTCGATTCGATAATAAATGTGATTGTAGATTAGAAATAAGTGTATGTAAATTACTCATGTGATCGCATAAACCACACATTGAGTTGATATTATTGTTACTATCAATAACATTGTTACCTTCATGAAAACTGGAAGATGAACCAAGATGACGACACTGGTAGATTTCGTTAAATGTTTTTCTCATATTGAGATTTTTCACAGTAGAAAAAGTAGGATGAAGACAATTTGGTATTGACGATGTTTGTGGTATAGAGAATAAAGATTCCGATGATTGATCTGTTCTGTATAATGAAGTTGGTAGACAACTTTCCATTGTCTCTGTATTAATCTCCTTTTGGTCAGATTTCAATTTATGCTCAGTTAAATTAATGCTAATTGTTGTCGCTGTTGTTGTTTTGACTGAAGTTGAGAAAATTGAACCATTAACGTTAACATCATGAAATTCTGACTGTTTATCAATGTTAGATATTGTAGTTGAAGTTATATTTGATAAAGAAGTTTGTAATTGTCTATTCGATAAAGTAGAATTATTTCTAGTAGATTCATATCTTGGATTTGAATCCAATGTTGTATTAGGTGAGAATCTATTGATTACGTCTTCGTTTTTTTCATTACTAGTATTTTCAATTAATGAATCTCCAGCTTGAGTATTCAAAAGAACTTGATTATTATTATTGTTAGGAATTAGTCCTTTTGATGTTTTGTCATCAACACAGATATTTATTGGTTTTAATTTAACATAATCAATGATCGAATATGATATTTGATTATTTGAAGGCACTAATTTATCAGGTTTATAAGAAGCTTCTAACCTATTCGGTACATTATATTCAAGCTTTGAATTCATAGTTAAAGTAGATGTACATGAGTTTTTATGAGTATCATCAGTCATCGAGTTTGTTAGTTCACTATGAGAATGAATTTCCAGAGGGTGAGATTTAATTTCAAAATCTCTTTCGACATTGTTTGATAATAATGGGACTTCGATAGAAAGTTTATTAAATTGTAAAACCGAATTTCTATGATTGAAATTAGGAGAAATAACTTCCGGTAATTGATTACTACTATCTGAATTATTGTTTGGTAGAAGTTTTATTTCATGATTGTGTATATTCGAAGGGGTTTTGTTGTCTACAGATAAGGTATTCTTTTCTTCAATAGATAAAATTTCTGAACTATTTCCATTTATATTCGATGAAATCTTTTGAAATGACGAAGTAGTTGAAGATAATTCACTAATCATTCTATTAATAAAATCATCAGAAAATTTATCAGTTTCATTTTTTAATTGTAAATCAACTGTATTAGTAGGATCATATGTTTTTATTCGATTTACACTTTCATAGCTCGGATTTGCATTTGCAGAGGAGGGAAACACAAGTGGTTGTGGGTCTAATCCATGTGTTGTCATTTCACGCCATGTCCAATCACAGCATTCATCATCATATGAATTATTCGTTTGTTTTTCAACTAAGTGTCGATCATTATTTGAAGGTTTATCGTTCATGTCTTGAATAAGAGGAGTTGTATAGCCTTGTGACATAGAATTATAACTGTTTGGAATACTCGTTAAAGTTGTAGAGTGTGAAGACATAGATTGATGATGAGAGGAAGCATCAGTACGGATATACTGTTTCGAATGAATATTATTACCTTGTATCTCTGAATTGATAGATTTGATTGAAAATTGTTCAGGTTTATTTTGTGGAATCGATAATCTTGAATACGACCTAGCCTCGTCTGTACAGCTATTTAAATTTTCTTGGGATTTCTCCACACCAAACCATAACTCTTCTAAGGACTGAAAATATTCTTGAATAATGGCAATCTTAGGATATTTAGATTTTACTAAATCGTTAATAAGATTTCTCAGTTCTTGATACTCTGACTGCAAACTATTTGACTTATGCCAGCGTAACCGACGTGCATACTTAACCATATCGCATAATTCAGACTTTGAAATTGAATCACTTTGTCGTTGAAACTCTTCACGATTAAGGGCTTCATTGTAATCATTTTGTAGATAAGTATGTAGGTTTATCAACTTCTTGAATATCCACTCAATTTTATTCTGAATGTTTAACTAATGAGGTACGATTGATGAAATAAAACAAATCAACACATTCAAAAGGATTCGATAAAACAAAACGAGTTGAACAGAAACTACCGAAAAAGCATTATATATAGATCATTAAAAGTTAAAAACAAATACGACTTCAAATAAAAACTATTGAGTTTCTTCTAAATAATAAATGATTCATAAATCGGTTATAACTGATAAATGTTAGATATATGTATGGGGATGTGTGGAGGTTGTAGTATTTTCACAGTTGAAATCACGAGTCCATTTAAGCTAGACTACCACTGAAAAACTGGAAGCACTGAACTGCCATTTCGTCTCAATATGGGACTCCTCAGTAGTTCACAACCACGATTGCACACGCGAAGGTTTGCGCAAGATCATAGATCGATTGAAGTTATATATTAACACCGTTGGATGTTGGGCTCAGTGTTCTAGAGATTAAGCCTTCGCGCACGAGGCTGGGGGTCCTGGGTTTGAGTCTTGCTCACGGGATAGTGGGTGAGCACTGTTGAGGAGCTCCGTACTAGGACGAGACGGCCGTTCATTGCATCCAGGTTCTCATTGGTTGACGAACTTAGATTGACTCGTGATTTCAACTGTGAAAATCCCCGATAAACTGATGAAATTGAATTATTAATACAGTTTTACACTTGTTCATTTCAGTATTAACATTGATATTCCTATAATTGAAATAGATAATCAAACCATTTCTCATCTGCAACGCTTAAATTCTTTATTAATAACTAACGCCATTACTTCTTATTGATTGCTATAACAAATGGTACTCTCATTGTAAAGGTAAAGTGATAAACTTCAATAGTGTTTGTAATTTTATGTTATCGATTGAAAACAGATAACATCAATTAGTCCAATTATCTTCAAAGTAGGACCAGGCATATATATATGCATCGGTCCAAGTTAACACACCTCATTAGCATAACAAGATGAACACCAAATTCATACAAATAGTTACTTCAATGGTAGTCAAGAAAAGGTTGAATTTAAGGATATAATACAAAGGAAAAGAAATGGTTAGTAGAAAGAAAGGTATAAAGCAATATTAAATTCACGGTCTAACGGAAGATAAAGAGTGTATACACCGACACCATTGTGATCGATTCCGAATCATGTCACCCACAGTCTCCAACCGTTGGTTACGATAGTCACGCGGATCCAAACCAAGTAGTCTGAATCTATCATCATGACTCACACCAGAAGTTAGTGACTTCGAGGACTGATGCCACGGTATGGTTTTGCCACCCCTAACTTTCTTCTATTCATCTCCAACACTAGTCAGCATTACATGTCGTGGTGATAGGTGTTCGGGCATACGCAACACATGGCCCAATAATCTCAATTGGTGAAGATTCACAATCTCATCAACTGATTTACCATCATTCCCTAATATGCTGTGTCTAATCTCACTATTACTTACCCGGTGATCCCAGCAGATGGTGGCAATATTTCTCAGAGATCTGTGATCAAATACTAGTAGCTTACGAGTTTCTTCTACGCTTAATAATCCCGTTTCGCAACCATAAAGTAGAACGGTACGAACTGCCGAACGGTATAATCGTCTTTTAATTGATAGACAGATATCTCGCCTTCGCCGTAGTTGGTAAGAGACAAACGAGTTTTTGGAATCCGTGGAGAGATTTCGTCAGACATCAACTCATTAAAGCTGATCAAAATCCTAAGATAAGTGAAGTTTTCTGTGAGATTGACTAAGTCACTCCATATCCTTAGTTCAGGTGTTGACGCAGCCCAGTCCTGAAGCAACAATTTGCATCTAGAGGAGGATAAACGCATTCTAAACATCCTGATATTGTTGCTTAGTGCTACCAAAAGACTCTGCATTTTATCAGCGTCTTCATCAAATAGAACTATGTCATCTTTGTATTCTAAGTCAATAAACAGATAACGGTATAAGCTTAAGCTCACATGGATTGTTTATTTATCGCAAGAAATGAGTAAACTTAAGAAATTAATTAAACTGACTAGATAATGTTCGACAAAAATAATTCAAAGGATTGAAGGCTGAAAATAAAATTTTGTAAAGTTGTAGAATAAATACAGATAGAAAAAGTCGAAAAACTTGTTGAAATTATAAAATAGTCGAAGTCCGACAACAATTAAGAACCTGAAAGTACTGGATGGGCATTTCGTCCTGAAATCAGTCTACGATATTGAGCAAGCATCTTCCAATATCGTGGATTGATTGAAGTTAAACTTGTACACAATTGAATGCAAGCTCAGTAGTTTAAAGACCAAGGATTAGCTAGCAAAAACGAAGGTCCTGAGTTCGATTTCTATCAGTGAAGTTATAGGTGCTTACTGCTGAGGAGATCCATATTATGATGAAAAGGTTGTTCAGTGCTACCCCAGGTTATTATTATTGGTTGTTTGACTTCGGTCCGTTAGTGATCACACTACAATGCAACCATTTCCACAACACTATAATGATAAAAGCCCATGTTAGTAGGATTATCTTATACCCATCAGTATCCAAGATAGTTTCGTGAAGTCATGAAAGTATACGAAGTTACATTTAATCAGGTCTATACGATGCACATAAAGTCAATACAAATGGTTAGAGATATCTGACTTTAATATTAATTTGATACCATACACTACTGATATATTCTAAGTAGTCTAACTTTATTAAAGCAAAACGGGATGGATATAGTCGATGTATCAATTTATGGGAAACGTGTGTTATGTCAGATAAGCACAAATACTTTGTATTGTATTTGAAATTAAAAATTGTAATGTACATGATGTCACATAACACAATTTTTTAACATCCATATAACGCACCGAAGATTCCTTGATACTTACATAAAGAATTTTCTTTATGATCAACAAAAAGATCAATGAAATTAAAATCCAAAAAGAACAGAGAGTGGTATAAAAATTATTCGGTCAACCAACAATAAACAGATTATGTTGTCTCTGACACTAGGAATGACTAAATTTTGGAATTACGATAAATACCTACAGCACAGGTTACGAATATTATTGTCAGTATTGACGACAATGTGGTCATTCACTGAATCTGATAATTATTATGATGAGTACACTATATTTTGATGAAAAGGCTTAGCGAAATCTAACACTGCCGGTTTCAACGAGGGCATAAGTTACCTAACACACAAAAATGACCAAATGAACCGTATACTAATACAAAACAGAAATTCAAGTTAATTAATTGCCCAGTCTTTGAACACACAGTCAGCTCCATTCGTGAGAATGATAGTTCAAAATTATCTGCAAAGTCAAAAGAACTGGTTCAAAGAATATTCGGATTAGAAAGTAATTGTATAAGGTAATTCGTTAATTTAAACCTTATTTCTTTATTCAAAAGCGTCATATTTAATAACTTCTAAACTGCCCTTTGTACCTCTTCTAACCTGACAAATCTTAAGTGAAAATTGTTATTCCACTCTTAACATATTTCTTTCCTTTCGCACGTCGACATTCTTTCAATAAACTATTAGTTTTCAACACCTTTAAGCCTATCATTACAAAACAGATATTCAACACTCGAAACTTCTAGTAATTTTTGATTACATTCAAAATTCGAAGGAGGTAGTTTAAGATGTGGATAGTTTAAAGCTAAAGTTTCCTCTTTTTATACCAGACAGAAGAATAAGAACAAGTTTCACTTTACTATTCCAACAATGAATACGTGCAAAACTCATCTGACTTAAATCAGGACACTGATAATTTAGTGTAGCACGACAGATGTAGACATCACAGCACCAAGAAAATGTGGGCATACTAAAAACATACCTGACTTTCATTGTGTTGAGTATGAGGTGATAAGCATTCCCCTGTTGAAATTTTGCAATCAGGATGAACGCACATATGTGATCCTAATGCATCTCTTAGATTAGTTTGTTTGCGACGTAACATATCAGCACTAACGTAAGGAAATTCTGTTGTTAATACGTCCGAATCATCTTTTTTGCATTTAGAAATTCTTTTCGTTTCACTTTTCATTAATTTTGTTCGGAGTTCAGTTGAAAGATGTGATTGAGTTTGTGTTGGAGTTAAATGATGCTGTAGAAATGGAGAAAGATAATATATTAATGGCGATAACAAAAATAATAGTCTTTTGGTAAGGAGGTTTAAATACATCTCACTGACGATGGAGAAGTATGAATTTCCTTCATGAACATGTATAAAGTATGAATTTCAACTAATAGTTAATTCGGTATGATAAATTTATATCAATTTTATTTAAAAATGAAACTAACTAAACTATTGAACTCAAAAACAGGTGCGTTGAATAGTAAGCACATGTTATATAACATGTTGAATATAGTAGAGTTCCTATGATACTATACACTTCATTGCTTTTGTGTTCTTAGTGTATGATAATCGGTTTCATGTTAAAGACATATAATTTTAACCTTTACTCTCTTGATTCAATAAAACAATGAATTATTCAAGATATTGAATGATAAATCAAATGAGATGAAAAAATGTACAGTATTTAGTGTAATCTATAGTTGTAATTTACTTCACAGTATAATGTCAATCTATAATATACAAATTCCTTAGCATATATTTTATCTAAACTGTCTTTTGAAAAGTAAAAAGTTTAAGAATACTATTAGAGAAATATTTAAAACGAGAACATTTCAATAAAACTTATTTATTTTTTAGTGGTAATTGGCTTTAATCCCCCATGGTCTCAACTATTAAAATTACTATAATATCCATAAAAACTCCTTCTGATATCAATCAACATATGCTCACTAGTGACTGGCTTTAAAATGTATTTCTCGAAGTTCTAGTAAGAAACAGTGACCATTGAAGTTCAACCCAGTCTGTTGTGAGATAGTAACTCACTGAAGACAATGGTGGATATGTCGGTCAATTTCGTGGGTTTGTGGAAATTAGACATTCACACAATTGGATGCCGACCAGCTCAGTGGTCTAATGATTAAGCACTCGCGCGCGAGATTGATAGATCCTGGTTTCAAATCTCGCGAGGCGGGATCGTGTATGTGCACTGTTGAGGAGGCCCACAATAGGACGAAACGACCATGCGGTGCTTCCATCTTTCGCATGGTGGTCTAGCTTCAATTGACTTATGGTCTCAACCATTAAAATTGCATATAATTCTTGAAAACAACAATAATATTTCCAACTAAACTACAATACATTGTGTTCTAACGATTTTTTTACTTTTCAATTAAAAAATATTGAAATTTCATAACTAAATTTAACCTAACTATTATGTGTCATTTATACATTAAACTATAAATTTTAGGAACCATTACCTTGACTATAATAACTTGTCTGCCTAGTTCATTTAATTTAAAACTTGATATAAATCTATGAAGAAATATAAGTATATTCTTCTAGAGCGACTTTAATATATGTCAGAAACATAATGAATTAAATCAGTTCTACTTACCCAATGCTCTACTCCATTTGTCTCAGATGGACGAACAGGTAACCTGTATTACAAAAAAATGACGTCACTTTAACAGTTTTTATATATATATATGCATTAAATTCGAGAAGTCTATTAGTATTTCTTACAGATGTAATGTAAACAAGTTACTTGTAGTGAACTAAAAATTTCGCCTCATGAACTAAATTCATCTAGGAAGACTTCCACACATTAACTTGAACACAATTGTGAAAAATATTAAGATCAATCTGACTTAACAAAGGAAAACTTCTGATTGATTTATGTTGTTATCTTACATCTAAACAACATAAATGAATGTTTGACCAACCACTGATTTTCAGAGGTATTATGTATTACAGTTTTAGCAAAAACATAATACATTTCACTATGTTTTCTCTCAAAACTTACCCAGCTTGTATTCGGCCAAGACGGTCACCTAATTGTGTTAATTTCACCCATGCTGTGTGAAGTTTAATAGCTATTGGAGAATTTTTAAATTTAGACTGTAAAAGAAGACCACGTTTATGTAAAGCTTCATGATTGGAGTTATTTTTACTTGTTAATGATGTTAGTGATGTCGACCAAAATTGAGATTCATATTCAAAATAGATAAGAATACTGGCAGCTTCACGACTATGTTCTAAACAAGTTTCCAATTCCATTAAACGTTGACCAGCATGCTTGAAAAATAGAAAAATACGAAGATAAAAAGCAAACAAATATGTCAAAGAAAAAAAACTAACTGATCAGAACCTCTCTTGGCTTACAAAACTTATATATATATACCTAGGAAAAGCGTCAGTAAAATACCTGAGTTAAGCAACAGAGAATGACATTATCTTACATCAGTATAAAAAAGTATACTATGTTATTGTCCGCATAGAACTAATAAATTATCTGGTTGGAGTTCGTCTGTTATTACTAATCTAAATTGAAACTAACATTCAGATATATCCGATACCCCCAAATGCCCTGGTACGGCCGAGAGTGGGGAGAGTCCGCTTTCCTTCTCGAAATGCTGTCACATGGCCACGCATATATAGCCTCTACCAGGCAAGTCCTACTGACTGACTTCTTACGGCATTACTGTTGTTTACGAAATTGAGATGACGAAAAGCGAATGTCCGGCGCTTTAACCGGGTTGGTGGACATGGAGAGTCTACTTAGGGGAGTTGGAAAACCCTGATTCCAAACCAATGGTGCACACGGGCTCCAGTACCCTGAGGGAACAAATGGCGTATGAACCAATTGTTGGTCACCGGCTACCATGGGACTACATTTCCTTACGATGCTCCACTGCCTTGTGGACTAGAACTTTGTGTCGAAGGCTCCGAGTGTGGTCCCCTAAGAAAACTACCTGCTTCGGTCTGGGTACCCGGGCAGAATCACAGCCCTCACACATATCAAATGAGATTTGCGTGGCGCATATGTATTTGGTGCCTCCTTGTACCAATATCTATATGTTAAAATAAATAAATAAATAAATAAGATATATCCGATAATGAACATAACTTCAGGAGAAAAAGGAATAGTTCTAAACGGATAAACGCTCAGAGAGCAGAAAATAAATTTAAAATTTTAAGTGATCTATCAGTGGTTTATATATCAGAAGTGAGATATAAAGTTAACAGTTCTGACAATGAGGTATTTCTGACAAAAAAAAGAAAATATTACAATTTGTAATGTGAGGACTGATCATTCTCTTACCTTTAAATATCCACCTAACTCTGGATGTCTTTTTTCAACAGGATCAGTTGGACAATATGATTCATTTAAATTTCTACTAGCTAATATTTCCAAATGATCTACAGCTTTTATTAAATTAGATAAATGATATCCTGTTAATTGTGGTACAGCTATACATAATTGATCTCGAAAGGCATTCATTTCATTTGCATTATCTTCACTGGAAAAATATGAAAATATCGAAAAAAGATTTATAGTAAGACTAATAATAATGAATGAAGGAATGAATGAGTGAACTAAGCAAATCAAGAATTATCAGAATGGGTTTTGTGGAGAGTTTTAGAAATTTTCACAGGTTGAAATCATGAGTCAGTTGAAGCTAGACCAAGAATTTCCTATTACAGGGGATACATGACAATTAATCTTTAATTATGATAGGTATCATTACCAAGGTTTGATTTGATAACTTCGAATAAATTGGGCATTGAGTAGATTGTTATAAATAAATAATATATTTGTAATATCCCAATCAGTAGAACAATTAGATTTTCTGACGTTTCGTGACTTAGTGTGAGTCACCTCTTCAGAGTGAATGCGATTTCATTGAAAATGATTTCAACTATGAACAAGTACCACAGAATTAAGTAGAATTGACATAAGGAAAGAGAGAGAGAGAGCACGAAATACAGGAAACAATTACACAATATGACTTATGTAGAAATTAAAATTTATAGTAAACGATAAAACTGGTAATATATGTGTCAACAACTTTGAACATTTCTGATTGTACGAACCGAGTGAATAAAATTAGTTTTTCATTATGGCTCTACATTAATATGTATATAGGATTTACAATAATGAGGTAATACTTATTGTTATGCCCCGATAAGAATAATGGGTGGTAATTTTTGAGATTCATTTGTGGACCAATACTACACGTATATTTTACCGCATGATTGTTGATTAACTATTATTATCGATTAAATGTTAAAAATACTTCCATGGTAATATCGATTATATACATATAATTGATATATATATATATACGTTTGAATTGTGTTTGTGGATCGCTGTGTGATCGCTCGTTTCTAGCTGTTTGCAGAATATACTTTCCCATTCCAAGCTTGGACTTCTCCCTCTAGTTAGCGGGGCTAGGACGCATCAATAGCTAACCTACTGGTCTTTGGTCACTGAGTCTTTGTTCTCGTTCGCAGATTAAGTGAACTCGTGATAACTTCAACCCTGGCACTTATCGAAATGATACGTTACGTAATAATTACAAAATGATATTTTGATTATAAATTAACATTGAGTAATTGGAAAAAAAGTATTAATAATAATCAAAGTATTCGAAAATCGAGAAGTCGCATAATATATGAAAAAGAGAAGGAACAGAATATTTTGATGAATGGTCAGTAGAATAGTAGTTATGTAAGAATCAAGAGATGAATGTTGAGAAGAAGTAAAATACCAAGTTCAAAAAAACAAAAATGAAAGAAGTACAAAAATAGTTTATCAATGTTCTGCTACAAACGCCCCTATACCGATAGCCTAGGTAGCGAAAGTAGTGGGACGAACTTCTTTTGGATGCAAAAGTTAGGTTTGTGAACATGGATTGAGATGGCATCAGCAATATGCAAAAGACGCACACGTAAACCACGTGGCAAATTTGATGGAATATGGTAGATAACCTTAAAAGCTTTATTCAGTTCAACCTGATGACCTGTGTCAACCAAGTGAGAGAGAATAGAACTTTTAACCACTCTTACCTACGCTTTGCTCAACCATGACGGATGGTACTGTTATACGATGACGAACTAGCCGAATTGTATGCAGGCAATCTGTCTTTATTGGCCGTTCTTATTGTGGGGTGGTTGTAGAAGATAGCACCTAGTCTGGCTGCATTAAATGTTTTTTTCTACCGCTTTTCTTAGTCTTTGAGTCACAATTTCTTTAGTAGTGTCGTTTCGGAATTGTAATTTTAGGAACAATACTTTCTTAGGAACGGTAGGTATCTTTGTCCTTCTTTTCATCTCCTTCATGTGTTTGTCGATGAATTCCATTGGTTACCAAGTCTTACGAAGTAAGTTACGAATATTAACCAATTCATCTACAATAGTGTCATCCGAACAAATCATTCTAGCACGATGAGCCAGGATCTTTATCAAGTTCCTTTTGTATCTGATTTCGTTGTTTTAAATCATATATACATATATTAGTGTAGAGCCATGACAAAAAACTAATTGAAAAGAAATTTCTTCGCTCGATTCGTTCCTTCTTTATTTACCAAATGTCAAAATGGAAATTTTCACTATATTTCTGATTGTGATCCTAGGTTATATAGGTTTGAATCTTGCCAGTTACCTTAGGACTGCAGGTACGCCTTCATGATAAGTGCCAACGTGAAGGGATTTTGGACTTTCTGATGATTTCTTCTCCAACCACCTAACACCATAGTTGCACTGTTTTTTTACTCTACAAAGAACAATTACTATCTCACTGGTTATCTGGACTTGACGGGTTTTTGAAGCAAAAATTAAAGGTTTCGAGTCCAGATGTGAACATTAACATTGTAGTTCAGATACATCTAGCTTGCGAATCCCAAATAGAACGAGTCAAGTGTGATAGATTCTACTGCTAGCCATCATCTAACTCTGCTGAAACGTCTGTGACTTAATGGGAATATAGAGGTAGTCTTCACAGAATGCACATATGCCAAAACAAGATAATCATTTGGAGTACATAATATCATCTAGACGATTCAAGGAACCAATCCAAATGAAATAAATTATTTTATTTTCATAAAAAATGTACTGACTTACAATGCGGATAGTACATTTCTTAATTTTTCGGACTTTTCAATTAAACATTTAATTTTTCTTTTCACTACTGAAGTCGATAATATACACGTAACAAGTTCATTAGTTAATTCATTAAGAAAATTTTCTGATCCTTCAGAATCAATCATTTGTTTATTATCATTGTAAGATGATATAGATTTTAAAGGGAATAATGAATCTGATTGACGAAGATATCCTTGAGCTTCAGTACAATATTTATCAACCATAGAAAGTTTACAAAATAACTAGATTGAAAAAGAAGCAGTAATATAACAATACAACAGTCAGGTTGACTACAAATGAAATAATATGTTAATCTAGATAAAAAAATGATAATAATTAATCAAATTGATCAAAAGGATATTTTGCTAATTGAATAAAAATGTTATAAATACTAGACAGCTATTATAAGCAAAGATAAGTGGTGGTTAGCAGTGTAATACAGGATGCGCATTTCTTCTTATTTAAGACTCATCAGCTGAATGCACCTGTACCCGGACTTGATGTTCAATTCGGGACTCGAATTCAGTACAAAACGTGCGTCCTGGATTTCATTGTTAGCCACTATCTATTTTTGCTTATAATGTTTGTGAATTAAAGAAATATCGAGGCAATATAAGAGATTGATTAATTGCAATCTTAAACATCAATGTAAAGATTCAAGCAAACAATACAAAATGAATATTAGACAGCTCTCTATTTTGTACTTTTAAAAAGAAACTTACTTATATACTATTTGAAAGGATAATTAATTTGATACCTTTGATAAGTTTAAGTTGTATGGTGTGAAACAATCAACTACGTTTATTATTTTTTGAACTAAATAAATGTCTTAAGTTTTACGTGAATAAATATGCTGTTTATCAGAAGCAGTTTGTGGAGATTTTAGAAATTTCACAGATTGAAATCATGAGTAAATTGAAGGTAATGAGGAGTCCCATACTAGGACGAAACGGCTGTTCAGTGCTTCCAGGTTTTCTATGGTGGTCTAGCTTCAATTGACTCATGGTTTCAATCTGTGAAATATGCTGTTTATCAGATATATTTCAAAGTAAATTATTGCTACCATGAAATAACAGTTGTATAAATGTAATATGTATTTCAAATTATCTAACTAATATATTGACTTATCTTAGAAACTACGAAAATAAATATTCCTTTAAAATTTACTCTATTAAATCAGAATGTATCTGGAAAAAATACCTGAATGAATTTGTTGAATTACTACATAGTTCAAACTAATATGCTGTTACTATTAAAATGAATTTGAAGTAGCTCAAGAAGTACCTATAAGTATGCCCATTATCAGTAACAACCTACTATGGGAGAGAACAAACCAGATCCCAGTGGAGGGAGAAATAAGCAAGAAGCGCTGGAAGTGGATAGGACACACATTGAGGAAAACGCCCAACTGCATCACAAGGCAAGACCTCATATGGAATCCTCAAGACCAAAGGAAAAGAGGAAGACCAAAGAACACATTATGCCGAGAAATGTAGATAGACATGAGAAAAATAAACAAAAATTGAATAGAACTGGAAAGGAAGGCCCGGGACAGAGTGGGTTGGAGAATGCTGGTCGGTGGCCTATGCTCCATTAGGAGTAACAGGCGTAAGTAAGTAATAATAGTGTGGTATGTATTACTTATATGGACATATATAGGTAGTATGTATCAGGCATGGGATGTAGAATTCTTACCGACAGAAGAGGAAAATGAAACTGATCAAAATAATAACAGAAATGAAGGAACAATGTAGTTCGTAAGAGACAACTGAAAGATGTGTGAATGATGTATTTAATGTATGATTTTCATACTTTAATAATCCATTGCATATTTTGGCATTTAAATTGGTTATCACCATATAACAACATCGAGTGCACACTTAGATTTTTTTGCCCACACATGAAGCTAATTAATATATATGCAGGTTAGAAACAACAATTTTTGTTTTCAAACTTGACAACAGAGAATGTTATTTCCATGATATTAGAAAAGATGTTTTCAAGATGCCATAAATTAATTTTCTGTTCACTCTTAAAACATTATGATATTCAGATTTAGCCTGTTTTGCCAGTATGTTTAGAATCAACAGTATATGATTATGTAATCATTACTATGTATAAACGATCTGAACTAAACCACCCATTCACTGACGAAAATTTGAATAAAATAAACTAGATAATGGTCAATTATGTTTTGTATACAAAATTCATTATGAAGTTATATTTTAAAATTGTATCACAGATTGGGTAAAAATTGTATTTTTAAATATTCTTTAAAATATAGATGCTAAACTGATCGATTATACTTTTGGAAATGATTAGATCTTTTCGTGAACTACAAACAATATTACATATTTTGTCATTTTAGCTAATTGTATTAGGAAACGAACTAATATATTTGAGCTCCCGAATGCCTTGGTACGGCGGAGGATAAGGAGAGTCAGCTCTCCCTCTCGAAATGCTTTCACTGTCAGGGAAGTCCTACTCACTGACTTCTCACAGCATTACTATTGTTTACGAAATTGAGAGGATGAAAAACCAATGTCCGGCACATTAACCGGGTTGGTGGACACGAAGAGTCCACCTAGGAGGAGAGTTGGAAAACCATGATTCCAAACCAATGGTGTACATGCGCTTCAGTATCCTAAAGGAACAAATGGAGTATGAACCAATTATTGGTCACCGGTCACCATAGGAGTGCATCCACACCCTTATGGATCAGACCTTTAGGTTGAGGGTTCTGAGTGTGGCCCCCTCAGAAAACCACCTTCTTCGGTTTAGGTACTAGGGCAGTATGACAGTCCACACACAAATCAAGTGACTTGTTTGCCACATATGTATTCGGTGCTCCTTTGTACTAGTATTTATGTGTTCAAATAAATAAATAAAAATCAATATACTGAAGGTAGATAATGTTTACTTTGGTTGAATCAAGGTATATACTAAATCTCCATCATTTGCAAATTTCAGTTTTCTTAATAACATGTCCTTTTACGCTTCATTCTAAGCTACGAATGATCAGTAAGTAGGTTGCTACTATATTCAACTATGACTACTCTATGTAGTATTGAAACAGGTGAAACTGTTGCAACTACAGTCATATTTTAATTGTTTATCCTCTCTTATTTAAATATATTAGCTTATTCTTCAATCTATGGTTGTATTCTTTCTCTCCTATCTTTATTTCCTTTCCTAACAAACTCCATCATTTAAAATTTGGTTTATCTAGGTCAACTTGCTTATTTTTCGGCAGACTGAGAGACATTCAGTTGACATAGAGCGTGTTGTTTTCTGATTCATAGTAAGTTTCATCACTCTTCATTTAGATGTTTATTTTATTATCTGCAACTGAAGGTGTTTTGAGAAGCCGATGTTTTCTTGATCTTTTTAAGGTTTGGTTGTGGCTTCTGCTTTTCTGGATTGATTGTTTCTGATTAACTGTATCAACAAGGTAATCCAATCGCATGTTAGGGGTGTTCTTTAATGAACGTACGTTTCCTAGGTAGTATATGGTTCGCATATCGTGTCAAACATATTCCTTGGACAACAACTTCGTAAATCCCGTCACCAACTCTTATGACAACAATAGCTATCCAATCAGCCCCTTACCGTTTACAGTTTGTTGCATATACTGCTGACCCATCGGGAAATTGACACTTAATACTTCTAACCTCAAGTCATTAGTTCCGCTTCACTTCCAGTGAGTACATGGCATCAAATAGAATATTTCTTATATCCTAATTTTAAATTATGTAAGTATCCACACTTTGACTGGATACTTAGGTGAGATTATAATTTATAAATGACCTTTAGGTGACGTCAAGGTAATATTGAGAGAATTCACCTAATTACCAGGGTCAAAAGAGTTTTGTAAATTAATTTGAGGAATTAGGATTGGGATGTAGAATTACGAATTAAAACTAAGGTTTTCATCATCAACTAACATAAGCAATAACACCAATATGCTATTTAAACATGGATGAACGAATTTCGCGTCGAAATCCAGGACTTGCAATTTTTATTTCTATTGATTCGTCTATAAATTATAGTCTCGCCGAGATGTACCAAGTAGCTAACTCCAATGTACTAATTTTCATGATTTAGTTTACCTTTTATACTGAAAATAGTTTATACAATATACTTTTACTAAGATATACATTATGGAATAACAATAATTGTTGGTAAAATCTAATTAACGGACAAGGTTATCTACTGGATGAAAGCACATGATAAGTCATGTACTATGCAAATATTCATATAAAGCGTTCAGTTTTAATGTATAAAAGTTGTCATTATTCGTAGGAGAGAAAACATCTTAAGGGGAAATAGGAAATTTTCCGACTGACTGGATATTAGGGGTTTCAATCTCACAAAAAGTAACAATTTCATCAGGACTGGAGATACGCTTTGGTTGCCCTAAAACTGCCTAGCAGTAAATAAGTTTAATAAAAACCAATTAGTCCTGAGCCGTCTGGAACTGAATTAAATTATTCTCAGTTTCCAATGTGGTAATTACTTTAGGGTGTAGTAGAAGTGATTTGGGATGGTTGTAAATTTTCAACGGGAAGTCCGAAATGTGGTTTGTGTGTCTGGTAGAACTTTATGGGACAAAGAGCTAGAGATCATGATAATGATTACTACTAAAAGATCAATTAACGTACTTAATAATATACTAAAGATTTTCTTGTGAATTAATTAGCACAGTAGTAATATTCCCAATATCAACACCGAATAAAGTAAGTAGAAATATCAAGTTAATGTCAAATTTTGTCCAGATTGAAAGTAATTCTTGTTTATGCATACGAATATCACAAAACGGCATTGAATGATACATCACTGAAAGTAAAAGAGCACTGAGGAACTCTCTCATTTTAGTTCAATCTTCTTCAGAAGTAAATATATTTGATGAGAACAACAAATAGATTTACATCCTACTAGTGAGTGAACAACTAAGTCAATATTGCAAAGACTGACATTTCCCAACTTTAATCAATTCATAATTTTACTTAAACGAATTCAAATTTTACCGAATGTAAAGATTTGTCATGGAAGTTTGTTTGAACAACCATACACTTTACTATTCGTTATGAAAATTTCATAGAATTCACTCATACAGCGTAGGTGGTCATCAGTAAACGGCGGTTAGTTGTTTTCAGGAGATAAGAGCGATTTAAAGCCTGATAACGTTCATCAATCTCATTTAGAAAACTAATGAAAATGCTATGTCACTAACGTACTACTTCAGTAGTGTATATTGACCATGTTTAATTAACTCTGAGACAAAATATTCAGCTATTGAGTTAAACTATAATGATTACTAACTGGGTTTCACGTTTGATTTAATCCCATTTGAAGATAGTTTTTGACATCGACTGACAACTATTAGAATGTGAATGAAAACCATAGAGCGCAAAAGGACTATTACGTTCTTGTTTAAGTGAGCACTGATGTTTGTTTATTTATTTATTTGAACACATAAATACTAGTACAAAGGAGCACCGAATACATATGTGGCAAACAAGTCACTTGATTTGTGTGTGGACTGTCATACTGCCCTAGTACCTAAACCGAAGAAGGTGGTTTTCTGAGGGGGCCACACTCAGAACCCTCAACCTAAAGGTCTGATCCATAAGGGTGTGGATGCACTCCTATGGTGACCGGTGACCAATAATTGGTTCATACTCCATTTGTTCCTTTAGGATACTGAAGCGCATGTACACCATTGGTTTGGAATCATGGTTTTCCAACTCTCCTCCTAGGTGGACTCTTCGTGTCCACCAACCCGGTTAATGTGCCGGACATTGGTTTTTCATCCTCTCAATTTCGTAAACAATAGTAATGCTGTGAGAAGTCAGTGAGTAGGACTTCCCTGACAGTGAAAGCATTTCGAGAGGGAGAGCTGACTCTCCTTATCTTCGACCGTACTAGGGCATTTATGGGCTGATGAAGAATTCTATAGTTGAACAAAACATCTATGTATTGCACTCTAATTTTCAGAATCTATCAAATTAGGATCAAGTTATCATAAAAATTATCTTTAAATTAAACTTAACTCCACAAATTTATTTATCTTTAAATAAGAGTTATGAAAAGAAGAAAAAAACAACAACAAGAACCAACAAACCTGTTCAAAACCACCCGGTCCTGGTGATTTGACATGCATTCTAAAAAGTGGTTTCTCTATATATTGAAAATCTTTAGATTTATCATTATCATTATCATCAATATTAGATGAATTTGGTAATCCTGTAAAATTTAATATACAAATTAACTCTTCAATAATTTGTTTACAATCTGTTGTACCAAGTTGACATAAATGTAAAAGACGCCGACAAATTGTTGAATCATTATGTAATTTTGATAAATAATAGTTTAAACGTTTGGTTAAAATATGTTGAACTAGATTTTGTTGCCGTATTATTAATAGTTGATTGATAAGATGAATAAAATCTATTGAATAATTAATGGATGCTTGAAATGGAATGGTTTGTAGATCATTTAATAATTTATTAAGTTGATCCATGATTACTTGTAAATGAAATAAACGTTTCTTTAAAAAAAAGAAAAAAAAGGTGAATAATGAAAGTCATTACAAATATATTAGGTCCCGAGAAACATAATATGAGTGGTAACTTTGGGATCCTTTTATGGACCAATACCAAACGTATATTTCTATTGTATAATTATTAAGTAACTAAATTATTCATATTCATATTCCTCTTATTATAAACTTTATTTTGATTTATGAACCATTATTATACGTTTTACCATTCTTGAATTATGCCCTGTCTATATTAGTTACTGACTCCTCCATTCACAGCCACATCTGGCTAATTCTTGTACAAATGTTGTTTAATATTTTATGCTACTTTTTGGTCTGTTTGATTAGCATATAAACTCAGTATGTTTGAAATATAGTGATTCATATTGCAGAGGCTGAGACTGGTGTTCTGGACTTAACTGACTGGGCTAGGTGGAATGCGGGATCAATCAGGACTCTAGGCTGCTCGCATGTGTTTACGCGTCCTTGTTCCGATCGATAATTCACTTCTCTCTAATCAGCAGTCAAATAAAACTAGAAATTATGTTATCAAGTATCAGATCTACGTTTATTCTATGATGTAACTAAATGAATGATCAATGATTTTCTTTTTTTTCATTAACTATCATCAATCGTATGTGCAATTGATTGATCACTGGGTGGTGGTGATCAATGTTATGTACTTCTTAGTGCAGATCGAATTCTATCGATCAAGTTGCAATGTGACCACCAGTCTAGGTGACTCAACATTCAGTGCACTATGTTGAGATAAGATAGTGGTTAGAGTTAGTCAACAGGACACCCTGTTACCATCTTATCTCAATATAGTGCACTCAATGTCGATTTACCTAGACTGGTGACCATATTGCAACGTAGTCGATAGGATTCGACCCTACAGGATGTCAGTCGCGGCCTGGATAACTCAGTGGTAACGTTTCTGACTATGAAGTTGGGTGACACGGGATCGAATCCGTTAGGGAGCATCAGTTCCCTCAAGGTTATAGGTACACCTTGCTGACGAGTGCCAAGTAGCATGAGACCTAGGTTTAGGGTTTCCTGTTAACTATCTCCGACCACCATCATATACTATCAATCGTACTGTCTTATAGTGATATTTAAAAAATCGTATGCTTTTGAATGAATTGTTTGTCTAAATCTTGGGTGATGAACAGTTTAAAGTAATAAATGAATTAATTGAGTTGTTAAAAGTCAGTCAATCATAATCAGTAAAGAATGTGACTCAAATGAGTCCCAGGACAGATTGTCATAACAGATCAATACAAGAGATTAGACTAACATGATAAAAAGCAAATAAACCAAAATCATTGCTGTAGTAGTCATACAGAGTAAAGGATTAAACATTGAGATGGTTCAAGAAGGAATGAGAAATTGTACATAAATGAATAGTAGAATTCAAGATTTAGATAGAAATATGAAGAATTGATGCATCTCTGCCATTGTGACAGATTCTGAACTATGCTACTTAGCGTCTGCAATTACTAATCGCTGTTATTTTGGAGACCCTGACAAAATTAGTCTGAACCTACCAACATGACTCAGATGATCAACAGTCAATGATTTCATGAACTCATTTCACACTATGTTTTCCTCTTTCAGTTTTCGTTTAACCTATTCTCATTGTATCCAACATTGTTCATCCAGATAGGCATTGGTTGGGATTATGTGACACATATGTAATCAACCTCAGTTGCTGACAACTGGCTCTATCTGATTATAGAGTTTTGTAGAAATTCCATAGTTGGAATCATAAAGTGACTTCAGCTAGATCAACAGTAATAACCAGTATACGACGCTTTAGCATCCATGAATCCAGTACAGGAAATCAAACACAGAACCTTCAGCCTCGAACGGGAACGCTTAATCTCTAAAATACTGAGTTGGCACCCGATGGTTTACATGATTCACCTTGATTTCCTGTAGCAGAGCCGTGGATGAGCGCTTATCAAAAGCTTCATACTAAGAAGAAACGGATGTTCAACGTCTGCAGGTTTTTAATGGTTTTCTAGTTAAAATCAACTCATGATTTATCTCGTTGTTTTAACTTGCATAAAAATATCTAGAAACTAGATAGAAATACAGTATTACAAGAGTAAAATACTTAAACGTTACAAAACAAACATAATATGACTAGCAGTGAAGATTATGAATACTCAAGGTATTTGTTAGTATCATTCCGATTTCTACAGAATCCTGGATAATAGTTTCAACTTAATCACCATTGAATGAAACTTTGCACACTGATAACACTGGTCAGACATTTTGGTGTGTTCGATACATTCAAATTTCGCTCACTTAAACCATCATCACAATGAAATAGTAAACTGAATTCCTCCAAAAAGTTTAATTGTTTTAGTTACCTCAATCTCTACATAATCGTCTGTTTCCATTGCTTTAGCAGATTTTAGATTAAGCAGTAAAGAGTGTAGTTTCTCTGAGCAATAAGTTAAACGTCGTTTAAAATTATGACCATTGGCAAGTTTCTTAATGAGAACTCCACTCCAATGAGATAAAGCATGACGTAAAGTTAAAGTATTTGAATCAGCCAAATTCACATGATCAAAATTTTTCAATAGATTATTGGTGAGTCCTGTATCTTGACCATTAGGAAGCTTCAATTTCGCGATCTAATTGTATGAAAGTACAAATAAACGAAAAAGTTACATATGTACGAGATTTTCATCTAAACTTGATCGATAGAATTCGATAAGAACTAAAAACTGAATTAATATACACAACATTGGTCACTACACAGTGATCAATCAATTGTGAATAAATCTCAGTGTTACAAGAGGCCAGCCGCCACCCAAATAGTAGTGAAGTCTCTGACTGTAAAGCTGGTTGATAAGGTGTCGAATTCTCTGAAGATTATCAGTTCCCCCACGAATACAGATATGCCTTGTTGATAGGAGCCAAATAGCGTAATACCTAGGTCAAGTAGGGTTTCCTTCCAACAACTTCCACCTTACAATCTACCAATAACTAATCTTTATCAGATTATAAGTGTACCAACTATCCTTATATGCATCAAATGAACGAGTAGTGAAAATGAGTTATGAATACATGATAACCTGCAAACTATTCCACGCAGTTCTAGGGGATGATTTGCCAAGAAATCAGTGAACATGGTCTGAATAATAATTATCCCATGTTCATTTGTACTTAGTACTTTTTACATATTATGAGTAGTCGTACAATCTATTTCATTGTGATCATTAACTTCATAAATTTCCTTGATTGGTTTAAAAAATGTCATATGAATATTCATATATATTAACATAAAACCTGATGACGATCTAATTGAAAACAATATTGTTCGCTTATATTTGTTGTTTTAATTTACACAATGTGAATCTTTAATATTATAAAATCTTACGGGGACTTCATTGCATTCAGGGGACTTAATGAGTTCCTGAATTTTTATCCATGTCTCAGCGAAACGAAAGCAACCTTGTAATTTACTAATGAATGTATACAAACCAATAGCCACTAAATTGTAATTAATGTTACTCCTTCTCTTCGCTTAAATCCTACGACCTGAAGTCCTCTTAAAGCTTTTTTTCTCTTTCTATACATAGACTTTTTTTAAGACTATTACTGGTACTATTTCTACCTCATACTACTTTGAGATTTTGTTAAGTGATTTCATCTATGTTAACTTGGTGTGGTAAACTGAAACGATAAACAGGTATGCCAGATTCTACGTCATATATTTTTACTGAGTGATTGATTAATGTTATAAATTATTCAGTCCGAAATGCTTATTTAGTTCTGTAAACCTGTTATGATGGACGGTGTCCGAAATCTGATACTGATACACGATATGCTACACATTCATCTACCACTTGACTACTTGAGCGAGGATACAAGAGTGGACAAGAAAGTATACTGGGCTACCGAACAAAATGTACAAATGCTCATTCAAATATATACAACTCTACCCTTTGGAAAATCAATCTTTTTTTGTAATAAAGTCGTCTAATCTAATTAACGTGAATATCATCGTTAAATTTTATTTGGTACTAAATAATTGAAAGTAAACGGTAGAAAATCGTGGATAGATACATCTTAAGCCTATCAGGATTCTCAAAGTTTGACGCCTAAATTGATCTTAATTAGACAATCAATGGAAACCTAGAATCACTGAACTCCTCTGGAGTGTGTAACCAAGACACCGCACCCAGGGATCGAACCCAAAACCTTTAGTCTCATGCGTGAATGCCTAACCTCTAGAACATTGGGGCAGTATTCAGCTTCAGTCAATTCAGGATTTGTCAAACGTTAATTAGTATATCTGAAAGACAAATATTGTTAGATGTTAGAACATAGAAAACATGAAATTATTTATCAAATAATGAACAACTAGTGTACTTAATCCAATGTAATTTAGTTAGCGATAGCATCTCTATATGCTAAACATATTCTTCAATAATGTAATACGAGAATATTAGGTTATAATTCGTTTTAGGGGATAGTATACTTCAAATAATGAAAATATCATTAAATGGCCTGTAGGAAAGATTATACGGTTTAAAACAATGAGTTTGGAAGATATTTACACCTTGAAAATTCCATGTTAAAATTACATTGACTATTCAACAAAGTAACAAGTCAATGGAAAGAATAATTTGGTTATTGATTGAGATCATGAACCGATTGATGTTAGACCACCACCTTCGGAAACCTGGAAGCACTGGAAGGCCGTTTCGTCCTATTGTGGGACTCCTCAGCAGTGCGCATCCACGATCCCGCTCGGGGGATTCGAACCCAGGGCCTTCAGTCTCGCACGCGAACGCTTAACCTACTGGACCACTTAACAATCTCCACAACCGTTAAACTGGTAATTTGGTCATTGTTTGGAAAAAGGTAATTGAAAGAAATAAAGAATCTTCCTTTTTCTCAACAGACTGCTTTTTATCGTTTAACTACATAACTATGTGATTGAAAAACCTAAGTGATATCAACCTAAATATACAGTGGTGTGTTGAAATTAAGTTTCTAGTGTCTGCTAAATAAATTAAAAAAACTTCATGAGATGAAACTATTTTTATAATTAAAAAAGGTCTAAGAATGAAACTACTCACATTTCTCAACTGTAAATGATAGGCATCAATTTTCTGTATACACAATGTGATCCGATCATTTAGATTATGCACAGACTCTAAAAGTAAATAATCAATACAACCGTATTGACTTGAAAACTCTCTAAATAAATTATTCAATTGGACTTCATCGATAGATAAGAAGGTATCAAGTATTGATTTACATAAACACTGACTACATTGATAATTATGTGATAATTGAATTATTGGATAAGTAAGGATAGCTTCAACAAATTTAGGACGTGTAGTTAATATCCATTGTAAAAGTACAGGATTATATACAGTGGATTCTTTAGAAGTTATAATTGTTCCGGCAATCTTGACAATACTCTGCCATGTATCATATAAATTGTATAAAATCTAAATGGAGAATAAAAGAATAGTATAAACATTGTGGAATTGTAAACAAGTATACACATATGTCACTCTGAATTGTCAATAAATACAAAGTTTACACAAAGTAGTTGAGTGACATTTAGAAAAGTTTAAAACTTGAACTGTACACTGCTATTTATATATAATCGATAAATTACTTAACCAAAAGGATGCATGACTACTTTTTTAAGCATAGCATCTTAGTACAGTTATTACTCAGATTTTCATGATCTGGAAATGATAAAAGTAGATTGAATGTAGATATTAATTGAATGAGGAACATTGATCGGCGAACTCACCAGGTTATCGACGAATAGTTAATTAACCTTCTTTAGATAGATAGATATATCAAGTGATAAGTTATCATAAGAAAGCTCTAGCTTCTGCCTTCGCTGCAAGTTGAGACTCATCAACAAGACGTATATCTAATTTCTATGAAACCGAGATTCTCCGTGGAAATCAAACATATGTAAAGCACCTGGATACATTAAAACCTGATAAACTGAATTCAATCTGCATTAAGGACTAGACGATATAACACTAACTACTCTTCTGTGTTCCAATGACATATATATGTATATACATTTATATATCTGAGCAGGAAAATAGACTAGCTACAATATTCAACACATCTTAGAGATACTGTACGAAGAATGAACCATTGCAATATATGAGGCGGCCTGCTTGAATATCTGGGCTGCTTGTTCCTGCCATCTACAATTTTCAAGTTATCTGATTTTTTGTTTATTTCAACAGATCGTTATGTCAATAATTTGTATAATCTATTCAGATGAGTTTGTGAAACGTTTACGACATTTCGCTGTACAAGTTATAAAAGAGCCCAATCACAGAAATCGTGGTGGCTGAAAATATGTATTGAAAAGAATACACATTATTTAGATATCGATTCCCTAATTGGTAATATCTAACTAGCGGTCACTCAAATATTTATTGTCAGGATCGATAAAGAAAAAAGAAACGGAAGCTTGTTGAAATACTTTGTGCTGAGAATTCTATATTGTACTAAAAATATAATATTGAATAAAGCCATTAATAATAATAATAATAATAGTGTAAATTTCATTTGTTAATGTTATGTCCCGACAAGAATAATGAATGGTAACTTTTGGGATCTATTGATGGACCAATACTAAACGTGTATTTCTATTGTATAATTATTAAGTAACTAAACTATGCGTATTCATATTCCTCTTATTATAAGCTTTATTTTGACCCATAAACTATTATTATACGTTTTACCATTCTTGAGTTATACCCAGTATATTAATTACTACCTCGCTCATTCACAGCCACATCTAGCTAATTTTTGTACAAGTGTTGTTTCATATTTTATGATACATTGTGGTCTGTTTGATTAGCATATAAACTCAGTATGTTTGAAATATAGTGATTCATATTGCAGAGGCTGAGACTGGTGTTCTGGACTTAACTGACTGGACTAGTCGGAAAGCGGGGCCAATCAGGATTCTAGGCTGCTCGCACGTGTTTTACGCGTACTTGTTCCGATCGATAATTCACTTCTCTCTAATCGGCGGTCACAAGTTTTAACAGTTAATCGGGAATGTAAAACATAAAACTCTATCTAACAAACTTACAATCAAGTGTATAAAGAATGGAAATTGTTTCTCTGATTCTGATGTATTTTGTTCTAACTTGTCTATTTGTAGTTTCTTTTGCCAACGTTTACTGAAACTTTGGCTGCCTGGAATATCGAATTCATTGACAAATTGTAAATTATTAAGTGCATTTGATTTTGAATCACTTGTAAGTAAAGCACATAAAGATTTTGTAAAACCATTTCGTAAATATTTCATACAATCAGAATAAATATTCATCCATAATTTATGAGATTTTGAATCACCTTCTAGAATCTATAGGGTTCAATAGAAAATATATATGATAACTATCAATTATACTATTGTGATGAATTTTATATTTAACCAATGTATACATTTTATAAAACTGAGAAAAATACAATAATCTTCACGTACAGATGCCATTTAGGATATTATTAAAAGTTAAGGAGGGGTTTGTCCTATTGAGGAAACCTTTCAGAATGTGCACCGACGACCCCACTAGGGATCGCATCCATGACCTTCGAGCTCTGTGATGAGTGCTTAATCATTAAGTTATTGGGTTGGTGTTGACTGGTATACATCTGGAATTTCGATCGATTCCTGATGAAGCACGATTAACAACCAGTGTCGTCACGGACGACTGTATCAATGTAGATATATGAGAACTCTCCGAAATAGCTTTTTGTGACTCCCTGATTTTCAATGGTAAGCCGTACACCGACTATGGTCAATCTTTGATGGATGCCAAAAATCACTTTATTTAAACCTCAATGCAAACTGACATCAACTAGGGAACACTTGAAAATCAGGAAGCGATCGATAGTTATTTACTCGTAGTTTGTGGCCACTCAACAATTTACGTCTATATCCAAGATTAAAATAAAGAATAAATAAGTAATAAAATCCAAACCACCCGAATATCTCAGAGAGCTCTAAATAACCTCTAGACCATTAAGTTAGCACCCAAATAGTTTATACCAGTAAATTCAGTCAATTTGTGATATTATGTAGTTATCATTTATGTTCATTGGTGATATTCATCTGACACCCCAAAATGGTTGAACTCCGATAGTTACGGCTCCTCACAAGAATTCCGCAAATGTCCAATCTTAATAATTATCCCATTGACTGCAATCTGGTGAATATTTCATTTTTAATCTAGCAAGTCCGTTATATCCGAACGAAGAACAAATGAATAGTAACTGCTAGGAATTATTTATGGAATATTACTACATATATTCTTATTGGATAACTATTAAGTAACTAGATTACATGTATATTCATATTTCCTTTATCATAAGCTTTCATTTGACTTATTTACTACTGCAATATGAATTATCATTCTTAACTCATTCCCATTTTATCAGTTACAGTATCCTACACTTAAAACCACTTTTGGTTTAATTTTGTATAATTATTATTTTTGATTTTATGGTGTGATGCAGTTTGGTTTGCTTGTATATAAACCAAATATATCTGAAATATACGATTCAAACAGCGGAGACTGATATTTGAGTCCTGGACTGAACGGGTTGAACTAGGCGAGAAATTACTATACAGATGACCAATAAGAAATCAGAGTTGGCTCTAAGCTGCTCATGCTAGTTAATGCATTCTTGTTTTAGCACAGGGACAATATAATATAAGTCGATGCTTTGATTGGCAATATTTCACGTGATATTTGAAAGGAGATAAGAAAAACCACGTCAGTATAAAATCAACAAACAAGTATTAACTATTTCATTTATACATTTACATACGTCTACTAAATGAAAATTATAATGTATAACCCTTTGAAATTTTAGGGAAAATACAATACTTTTCTACCATCCTCTTAACCAGTAAAAGATAAATTGTTTTACTTTGATTATTCTATACGTTAATTACAAATACTATCAGAAGGGGTTTTATAGAAATTTTAGTAATTTAATGATTGAATTCATGAGTCAATTGAAGCTGGACAACCATGGAAAACCTGTAAGCACTGGAAGACCATTTCGTTCTATCGTGGGACTCCTCAGAAGTGCGTATCCACGACCCCGCCTCGCGAGATTTGAACCCAGCACCTATCAGTCTCGCGCACGAGCGTTTAATCACTAGACCACTGAGCCGGTCGGCATTCAACGGTGTTAATGTCTAACTCCAACTAATCCACGAAATTGAGCCCCCATCCACCATTGTCTTCAGTGAGTTACTATCTCACAACAGACCCGGTTGGACTTCACTGGTCACTGCTGAGAAGTCTCATACCACGACAAAACTGCCATCCAGTGCGTCCAGGTTGACTCATGAACTAAGAAATTACAAATATTATCGAATTATTCAGTTTTATAAATTAACTGTATATTAATAAACAATCATTTGGAACCTAATTTATCCATCGGTCATTGGTATTCATTATCTCATACAACAAGATATTGTTCATCATATCAGTCACACAGGCAATTCATTCTGTATAAGTAAGTAATAGTCTGTACAACAGGGTTAAATGGTTCAAGGTTTTAACTAAATAGGTCAATCTATATCATACAAGAAATCAATCGGGAAGTGAGTCGTATTTGAAAATTCAGAAAATTGAAAAACTATTTTCGCTATGTATTATTAGTTGAAAATACACTGATAAAAACCAATAAGTAGAATGAATGCATTTTATCAAAGTAGGAGAATGTTTAGAAAGATCGCGTAAAACGAATTCAGAGAAATATGTCATTGGGGATAATTCCTAATACGATAACCACCTAAATTAATTCTCGTGTCCGAGTAGCGAAAGATACTAGTGATTATATAGAAAGCATTATATTATCTTACCGATAACAACTAGCAGAGTTAAATATTCATTGAGGATTTTGTAGTCTCATGTTTGACAATTGATCATAGATTTTCTCATTGATATATACATCCAAAGTCAAACAGTATGGGTTGAACACTTATTTTGATCAGTTAGGCGGTTAAAATTTTAGATTACTTTGTTGTTCTATTCCCCGACTTAGTTGATTTAATCGTGAAGCTGTTATAGTTCTTTTAAACAAGATTACCAGAATAAATTTCAGGAAAAAGTGAGTAATTGGGATTTCTCTACAAATGACTGAGATTTTAACTTGTTGACCCTGGCCTTGGCGCGTTACGACTGACTTCACTCTGTCATTGATTATATAACTAATAACGCGCTTCAGTGACCTCGCCACCGGGAATCGAACTCAGGATCTTCAGTATCTCGTGCTTAACTTCGACAATACTGAGCAGGAATCCAGTTGTGCATATGTTTAACTTAAATCAGTTTGCAATATTGCCCAACTATTATTCATTCCTTGAGATTGTTAACTACTTCAAACCTGACATGATAATACCCTTCTAGTCACTGCTTCTCACTGTAACTCCTGAGATGGCGTGCAGAATTTAGTTCCTAGTGAATAATCTCCACAAGGCATCTGTGCCACTAATAACGAATTCTCAAAGTATAGTAATCTCGAAACCTGCTTAAATCTATGAAGCCATTGGTTTCCTTACAGATGCAAATATTTTCATCAAGTCTCTTATTTTACATTTAATTTGAGCTATTGATTCTGAATGTTAACTGTACAACACACTCATATCCATTTATGAGCAACCCATTTAAATATTGTACACCTTAAAAGTTACTGAAGTGGTTGGCGCATTTTTATCCCCGTCAGTTCTTTGTATCAGTAAGGTATAATTGCAATGTAATATATGTTTATTTATTTTAACGCATAGATACTGGTACAAGGAGGCACCAAATACACATGCGCCGCACAGATCTCATTTGATATGCTTGAGGGCTGTGATATTGCCCGGGTGCCCAAACCGAAGAAGGTGGTTTTCTGAGGGGGCCACACTCAGAACCTTCGACCTAAAGGTCTGATCCATAAGGCGGTGGAGCATCGTAAGGAGATGTGGTCTCATGGTGACCGCTGACCAATAATTGGTTCATACTCCATTTGTTCCTTTAGGATACTGAAGCGCATGTACACCATTGGTTTGGAATCATGGTTTTCCAACTCTCCTAGGTGGACTCTCCGTGTCCACCAACCCGGTTAATGTGCCGGACATTGGTTTTTCATCCTCTCAATTTCGTAAATAACAGTAATGCTGTGAGAAGTCAGTGAGTAGGACTTCCCTGGCAGAGGCTATAATGTAATATATGTACTCTAAAGTAACTTATCTACAATATAATAAAATCCAGGATACACTTAATACTAGTTTCATCTTAATTTGATACTTTGTAGTTTATAATTGAAACGAATCTCAAAATTTAATCCAATATATAATAGAAATAATTTACATACTTACATACAATGTTAAATAAACTACACTGAGTTTATAAACTAACAATTCATTAATGTGTGACTAAATTCATTAATAGTTTCAATGGCTTAATAAACATGACATAACTCATTCACTTTAGTCATTTATCATACTCGTTTTAAGTCAAACAAATTCTAATGATATTTAATTAATCACAATTAATTCATTCATTCATTTATTACTTACACTTTGATTAGGTAATTGTATCTCGAATAAATCAAACATTATTTGTTCAATCATCATCAAAGTAAGTTGATTACCATACACGAGACAAGATTGAATTTCAAGTAGACGATTAATAATTGTAGATTGTAAAATATCACATTGACAAATCACTTGTTCATTTGTAAATGTAGATCTAATAAATGTTGATGATATTCCATTTGATGATGATGACAGTGATGCTGCTGATGATGATGACAGTGGTGATGATGCTGATGATAATGTTAATTTGTATAGATGATGAATTTCTTGTAAAAATTCATTTGGATAATTCACATCTAATAATTCCACAGAATAGTCCAATTTATTCTCTTGTAAATTATTATAAATCCCATTGTAATTTTCATCAATTTCTTTATTCTTAATTAAAGATTTATTTTTAATATGATTATAATAGAAATTTGATAAATTCATAAATTTATGACTAAATTTTAATGCTGCATTTTGACAGTCCATTTTAAGTGATTTTTCATATTCAATATGACGAGATTTCATATTTATAGAAGGATGAATAGACATTATAATTGGAGTCCATGAATAATTCTTTGGATAAGGAAATGGTAATGGCCAAATATACTGTGAAAAAGTATAAGAGGAATCAATGTATATAATATAGATGATTCAATGAGAAAAAAAACTAAACCTAATAGATGCTTGTTAGATCAAAATGAGTATCAGTCAAATAAAACTTGGAATTGATTAGTTATGCTTATTACTATTCAATAGGGTGTTTACATTTCGTCATATGTGTTAGACATTCTCTGTTTAACGAGAAACTAATATTTATTTGTTGGGATATTCAGAAAAACATACCAAAGATTATCCTGTTGAGTCTAATGCTATCCTTGGACTTGAAGTGGCATTATTTCCCTGTTGGTCAATATTTATTTCACGTATCATTTTCCTGTTGGTCAAATATTATACAATGTTATTTTCTATTTTATGGTACGATGTATTCTGCTTGATTGGTATCTAAACTCAGTATTTTTGAAATATAATGATTCATATTGCAGAGGCTGAGACTGGTGTTCTGGACTTAACTGGCTGGGCTAGGTGGAAAGCAGGGCCAATCGAAACTCTACACTGATCACACGTGTTTACGCGTCATTGATACGATCGATAGGACACTACTCTTTAACCGGCGGTCACAAGGTATAACATAATCATAGAAACAACTGGTACAAAACGCGTTTTCAGAAAGAACTCTGCAAATTAATGTCAGTAAAATAAATCAAATGTGATCCAATCGTAGCTGAGGTATCGATTCGTAAGTATGTGAGCGAAAAAAGGGAGAGGATTAATAGGGGCTGCTATCACAACGGCGATTATTAAAAAGCCTCATATATTATTAAAGGGGGGTGTTTGAAATTTGGTCGATTTACTGTATATCCCTTTGGTTTTACGACCAATCAAAAACGATCTTTAAACGTTCAATGAAGAGTAAAACTTCTTGTTACGCCAGTCGTGCAGTGTCAGATATCTTTTTTGAACAGCATAGCTGAGTATCTCATTGACCTGCTTCAATGCCCGAACCTCATTTCAACTAGGGCAACAGACAACATTAGTTGAGACCTTAGAATCTCATCTAACCTTTGAGTGGTTGATATCCCACTAGGTGGTTAGCTTTTCGACTTAGAATACAAACGGAGAGTCTTCTGATATCTTTGAGTAGCGATTCACACACTTTTTTACATTTGTCTCCTAAATGCAAAATGATGCTTCAAGACTGATTTGCACCATCTATTAGATTGATAATAGGGAGTAAAGTAGTTGAATGCTTCAGCCAACTCATGTATCTTCGATGTCATACAGAACCTTGTTTTTATTACTAAGAAGTATTTTCAACCTGTAACAACTTTGTGTAGAGAAGACAGGAAAGTGTAAACGTGTCTTTGCCTATTTGAATACCATTGAGAAATGACAGTTCACTGATATCGTTTCGTAGACGTTATAACTATGGCATACACTAGCAAAATGAAGTTGTGCGGCCATGACAAAGGGAAATTGTGTACGCCTATGTAAATATTAACAAGGAAGAATGATTTGTAATCATACTAATGTTTTTGTAAGTTCCTCTAAAGAACATAATTCAATTACAAAACAGTTAAGCCCATAACAAACTTTATGTAAATAGTGCATTAATGATAAATTCCTAACACCAGTTTTCTTATTGACTATAAATAGAATATTTCTGTAGGGCATTTCTATGGTCGCCCAAGTTCCTTCCGACAGAACAGATATATTCTCACTGTAATTCAGATTAGTAGTATATTGCACTCGATCTATAGTTTACATCCCAAAATTAGTGATGAATAAATATGACTAAACATTTCCCAAGTACGATACAAATCCACAGTTCGACCTTAAAATGTAATCAATATACCAGATTGCTAGCAATATACATGCCCATATGTAGAGACACAAACATAAACACATACACAAATAATAATCTTTATGAAAACATTCCCTTATGAAAGAAATTTCTAAAGGATGAAACAAAGAACAAAAAACAATCAAGCAAATCAATTGTTATTTCGCTTTATTCTTATAAAGAGTCTGAAAATAATGTTTCAATGTCAATCTGAATTCCCATTTATCCATTTTAATCGATTTTATTGGTCAACCATTCAGTGTTTGTCTTACCTACAGAAAATTCGATAAACTTTTAATATGACTATAGATTTGTTGTTTTTAAACTATTCATTCTACGGTATGGAAAACAAATATATCGAAAGGGGTTTTGTGGATATTATAGTAATTTCAATAGTTGAGATCATAAATCAATTGAAGCTAGACCACCATGGAAAACCTGAAAGCACTGGACGATATTGACTAGTAAAGTTCAACCAGGTCTGTTGTGAGATAGTAACTCACAGATGACAATGGTGGATGTGTCGCCCAACTTCGTGGATTGGTTGGAGTCAGACATTAACATCGTTGGATGCCGGGTCAGTGGTCTAGAGGTTTAATGGTCGCGCACGAGACTGAAGGTCCTGGGTTCAAGTACCTTGAGCAGGATTGTGGATGAGCACTGCTGAGGAGTCCCACACTGGGACGAAACGACCGTCCAGTGCTTTCAGATTTTCAATAGTGGTCTAACACTCATCCATTCATGATATCACTTAAAAAAAGATTTACTAATGTATATTTTCTTCGAATTCAGTCACTGAATTATAAATTCAAAAGACACATTTCACGTTTAACAGTCAAAATCAAATGATTTTGACAAAATAATTTTTAGACATAATTTTAAATTGTTACCGATATTGAATAGTTAGTGTATAGTAATTATAAGAATAATCTACAACCTACTAATAATGAATTAATCAACTTGTCTGAAATAGTGAAAATAAGTAGTTGATAAGACAAATAGTACTTAAGAAAAAGAAATACTACTCATAAATTCAGTAATGAATTTAAATCAAACATTAACAAAAAGTAAAATCAAATTGGCAACCGAATGTAAAAGAAAGTTACTTTAGAAATATCTAGTTACCAAGGGATCAATTCACTCAATGAATTTAAAGGAAATTAATGAGAGAAAAGCTGGTAGAGAAAATGAAAGAATAATTTTCAAATGGAATACATTTCATCATCATGAATAGAGAAAGGAATCAATGAATGAAAGGTAGATATTAATGTGAACAAGAAAAATAATGTATATATTTATGGTTACTATGATCTTTGATAATCATAGTAAAATCAACAACTCAGTAATATAAATTGAGGAAAACCAAGGTCCTCAAATTCAAAACGGAGAACAGCAGTCCAACCACTCTTGATGGCGAAACTCTGGAAGATGTAGAATCCTTCACATACCTGGGAAGCATCATCGATGAACAAGGAGGCTCAGATACAGACGTGAAGGCGAGGATTAGCAAAGCAAGGGCAGCATTCCTACAATTGAAGAACATATGGAACTCAAAACAACTTTCAACCAACATCAAAGTGAGAATCTTCAATACGAACGTCAAGGCAGTTCTACTGTATGGAGCTGAAACTTGGAGAACTACAACAACCACAATCAAGAAGGTACAGGTATTTATAAATAGCTGTCTACGCAAGATACTCAACATCCATTGGCCGGATACCATCAGCAACAGCCTTCTGTGGGAGAGAACAAACCAGCTTCCAGCTGAAGAAATTAGGAAAAGACTATGGAAATGGATAGGACATACATTACGCAAATCGTCAAACTGTATCACGAGGCAAGCCCTAACTTCGAATCCTGAAGGAAGGCGGAAGAGAGGAAGGCCAAAGAACACATTACGTCGGGAAATTAAAGCAGATATGGAAAGGATGAACAACAACTGGAAGGAGCTGGAAAGGATTGTCCAGGACAGGGTTGGGTGGAGAATGCTGGTGAGCGGCCTATGCTCCTTCACCACGAGTAACAGGCGTAAGTAAGCAATTAAGTAATATAAATTAGAAAAAATGTAATGTAAATTAATTGTTCAATACCATAATTACTATTCTAGAAACCTACAATATTTAATACATCTATTTATTCCTGACAGGTTTTATTGAAATTTGATCGAAAACTCTCACATTTTAATAGGTAATGGTTTAGAAGAAATAAAGTGTTCTTAAATTATTCAATTTATTATAGATTCAAAAAATGTTACTAAATATCTGACTGGAAGTTTCAAATCAAACACCTAGATGTTGATTATTTTATATGTGAATAACATATACTGTAGTGAACAAGAACACCAGTGGAGATAATCGAATGTATTTAAATACAAAATCATAGAATCCCTTAGTAAAATCTGAGAACCATACAGTAAATAATTCATTTGCAAAATATCAGTCAATCATCTCAGACTTCATTGTTCCTTCGTTTCCACACTAATCATTCTTTGTTCTCGCTTTGTTTTCTTCGATCTCGTTAACCTTCTACCCGCAGGTATTTCAATTCCGATTGATGATATATACTACTTATAACTATCGACATCAGTAGCACGCACTAAAATATGACAGAATACTGTGTTCACAGACAGATATATCTGGAGCGCTTCTAGGATTACTGGCTGTCTCATGTTCGGGAATAACAAGGGACATTTGGATATGGGGGTTAGCAACCCAATCCTATAAAAAGGCACCTTGCTAAGAAACTAATTGATATTTATGTTAATGGTTTTAAAATAAATAAACTTTCAGTTTAATCAAATATTTGATAGATGATCTAAATTTTTATTACCAGTTTGAAAGCATGATAACATTTCCAACTTTCAGTATGACTATTGTCTATTCTTTTTTTAGCGTTTTCATTGCTTTTCATTGTTTGCTATACATTTACAAAATTAACGATTTGACATGAGTTGAATATTGACTATCATTGGATTCCAGCACACCCGTTTTATCCCATTTGAGACTCTTCAGTTAGATGAGCCTAGTTCTCAGTGTTAGTGTTAACAAGCGAGAATTCAAACCCAATAACGTCTTCTTATTGTTTAATTCTAATTAAAACTTATAACTAAACAACAATACTGAGGTATTTCACTGGTTAAAATCATGAGTCACTTGAAGCCAGACCACCATGGAAAACCTGGAAGCACTGGACGGCCGTCTCGTCCTGGTATGGGACCCCTCAGCAGTGCGCATCCACGATCCCGCACACCGCGAGATTCGAACCCAGGACCTACTGGTTCCGCGCGCGAGCACTTAACCATTAGACCACTAAGCCTGCATCCAATGGTGTTAATGTCTAACTTCAACCAATTTCACAACCAGTGAAATTTCTAAAAAAAATCTCCACAAAACCCACTCTGATAATACTGAGGCAATTCACACAAGATACACATATCCCAAAAGAGAGACTGATCAATTGAAGTCTTTTACATAAACAATGGGAAGATACAAACAAGGACAAATTAACGATTCAGTTACAAAAATCTTTTTTTTTCTAAAGTACTTTATAAGTCGATCTAAGGTCGAGAGAAAAAATTTGTGTAAATATTACAGAAAGGAGAGGATTAATGACCACCACAAAAATCAAAACATTTTTTTTTTGTTATCTAATGCAAATGATAAAATTATCACACTTGGACTTTATTATTATTATTATCATTATTAGTCAAACGATTATATGAAAATGAACAAAATAAAATAGTACTACTATTAGTACTACTAATATTACTACTCATACTCATACTAACACTAATAATAATGCATACTTATGATTATTATGAATAGATAGTTGTGAAACTTTGGAATTAAATTTGCATAACATACAATTGTACACATGGTAATGATAGTTCAAATGTATGTTAAAGACATAAAATCTTTAAAATATAAATATATTGCACTCTATTTATCTAAGTAAGTTACTTATTAACTTTATAATAAAATGTTATAAATTCTATAGTGTTATTATTATATTTGTTAGTTGCCAACTAGTGTTCTATAGAAACTGGATACTATTCATTGAAAAAATTTGTAAACTGTTATTTTTATCTTAGTAACAACTGAAATTTGTTGAAAATAAAACTATTGAGTTTCTATGATAAATGAACATCTTTATATCTAATGATAATATAAAATTTTTCATTGTTATATGATGTTAACATTACATTGTCATAAATATGTAAATGACTAATTACTAAGTGTAAATTTTAATAAGGTAATCACAGCTGGTAATAACGAAGACATTTACAATGGATTACTGAACAGATAGATTTCCAGACAGTATAAGTATTAGATTTTCATTTGAAATACTAACCTAAATTACCTTTCAAGAAGTAAGCATTCTGGGCTTGATCATGAACACAGCTTTTTTTGTATTTAAGATGAAATATTCAATCTAATCTAATCTAAAGAAAATAGACACTCTCCCCTGTTTTATTAAAGATGTAATAGACAAGAGAGTTTATTCTACAAACTTCATTGAAGTAATCGCCTTGACTTTGCTTAAAGCGACTTTTATGCACAATAAAAGTATCTGAATTATTCTATTCCATTTTTAGTGTTTCAGAGATGAAGTGTGGTTTGTTGTTTAGTTTTACAACGACTAGATATTTGTATAGCATCGTGTAGAGTTTAAACATTTGAAAAAAAACAAAGGAATTGAGTAGAAATAAAGACAAGTTAGCGAAGAAAATTTTCCTTTCGACGAAATCATTTATTTCAGTTGTGAAGTCTGAAGTTCATGCTGATGATGTCGTTCAAAAGAACGACGAAAGCCCCACGATCAAACCATCCAGCTCAGAGAACAAAATTCCATCAAAACCTTAAGTTGTACATTCGTATTTATAGTTATATGGTGAATATATGTCTACAGAACGATAGAAAAGATTACATCATAAATTCATTCCAGACTTATTATCAAATGAGTTTACGCAATAATCAAGGGGTAAAAGAAGAACATATCTGGATGGGAATAATTTACGGGTCTGAATTATAAAAGATAATTGTCCACTTCACAAATATGAAGAAAAACGAAAAACATTAAAGTCATAACTGAACAATAATAATAATGAAAACGTGTTTAAGGGTAATAGTAACTGATTGTATTTTAAAATTACAGTTGTGAAAAATTATTCATCTAATAAGAGTATTTACACAGTTAATGTCAAATTATTACTGTGAGATGGTGGAAAAGATGATTTCTGTGGTGTTTTGTACTCTGGACTAGATGATTTAACTGTGAAGCTTTTTTTCATTTTTCTTCTGAACAACAACATCAACACAAACTTCAGGACTTCTACCTGAGGTTTGTGTTAATCATTTTATTCGAAAGAACAATAAGAAAAGCTTCATGATTAAACCACCCAGCTTAGAATAAATCTCCACCAAAATTATTACTACATTCCATAAATTTTGAGGTGATACTTTTTGAAGAAGGAGAATGGATTTGATACAGTCAGTCAGTCAGTAACAACGTAGAACGTCGTACGTACGTACATCAGTTCGAGTTGTCATAACCACATTAGCACAGAGATGCAGTAGTCCATTCAAACCCCGTAGTAGTTAGAGGTAGTAAGAATATAAACAGTAATCGGAAAGATTAGGGTTTGAAGATGTTATTCAAGGAGTATAATCCAGTGAAATAAATTTAGAAAAGGAAAAAAAAGGGACATGAAGAATTCGGAAGATTAGAATTTGGTTGAACACAAAGAGTGGATGCATTTGCGCCATTGCAATCGATTTTGAGCCATGTCATTCATGGATTTCATACATGTTAACATCCATTATAAACCAACGTCATGCTCTCACAACAATCACAAACCTTACGTATAAAAAAAATTTATGCAATTCAGTGATTAGTACAATTATTTGAACAACAACAAAAAAGTACCATAATCTCTAATAATAACTAACCTTCTTGAGCCAGTCTGACCAATCATGTATAATCTCTTCCATTTGATTTATTTGACATAAAAATATTTCATCTAAATTAATTTTTGATGAGAATACTTGAAATTGTTGAAGAAAATATATAATCCATAGTTTAGAATATCCTCGTTCACTAGTTAATTCATTAGTATATTCTAATAAACCTTCCCAAGAATTAATCCAATTAATTTGATCTATTTTTCGACAGAATTCCATCAATTCCATTAATTGATTTTTTCGAGCTATCACTATACAATTTAAATCATGATCAGGTATTTCAGCTCTATTCGTTATTTTCAATCTATCATCTTCTAATATTTTATAATAAAGATGTTTTAATTGTTCAAATAAATTTTCACATTGAATTTTAATGTTTGCCAATTTTGAATTTGAATCATATTCATGTAATTTATTAGATAATGATTTTGTTTGTAATGTAATTGTTTCTAAACCAAAATGTACTGCTTCTATAAATGCTTGTTTCTGTTTTAACATTTGAGTCTAAAATAAGTAAAGTATATAAATGATGCAGTTATTATTTATTAATTGAACACATAAACATTGGTACAAAAGAGGCACTAAATACATATGCGCCACACAATAACAATGAGACGAATAGTTGTTGTCATTGATTTGTGTGTGAGCTGTGATACTACCCGGGTGCTCAAACGGAAGCAGGTGGTTTTTTTAGGAGGGGGGCACATCCGGAGCCTTCGACGTAAAGCTCTGATCCACAAGGCAATGAAGCAATGTCAGGAGATGCATTCCCATGGTAGTGTATGACCAATAATTGATTCACACACCATTTGTTCCCTCAAGATCCTGGAGCCCATGTACACCATTGGTTTAAGATCAGGGTTTCCAACATTCCTAAGTGCATCCCCAATATCCACCAACCTGGTTAAACCACCGGATATTCGCTCTTCATCCTTTCAATTTCGTAAACAATAGTAATGACACAAGAAGGGTATGACTCGGACTTTCCTGGCAGTGGTTGTATGCACATGGCCATGTGAAAGCATTTCGAGAGGGAGAGTTGAATCTCCCCACTCTCAGCTGTACCAGTGCATTTGGTGGCAGACATAAAATGAGTTAATTGGCTGAAACTGTAAATTCAAAAGCTGATTTCTTTCCTATTTACATGAATGTAGAAAAAGTTTACTTTCGTCAACCCCATCACTCAGTCATAAAAAACATAAGATCTTGGGCAAATATATACCTATTCAAGTTAACATATTTAAACAATCGGCACTGTTGGTCAGAGTAGATGAAACCAAAATCAAACGAGTTGAAATAATAGTAGTATCAATAGGAAACAAATGAACAAAGAATATAACTAGAAAGCCTCAAAGAATTTGTGGAATTAAAAGTTTGGAATAATACAAAGACTTCAAAATTGATTGGATATAAAAAAAGAATAGATTTCCTCTATTGAGATCGATTTTAATCCATGTCACAGAAAAAACCAGACATACATTACGAATAATGGGAGAACTCGAACCGTTCAACACAAGTTATTTGAATTAAACAGCTAACAACTTCACTGGTTAGATTTGTGTATTGGATTAGATGTCTCGGGCTTTACTCTTAATCCCCTTCAATGTTGAATAGTATTGTATGTATGTGTAAGCTATAGCTAAGCATACATTATTTTACGTACGTCACATTAAGGATAATACTAGAACTGAAAATCCAATTTAGTTTGATACGCCTAGATTGAAAATGACTATGTTAATAAATGCTGAGTGAAAATGTTTAAATAAAGTTGAGACTCTAAAATTTATAAAGAAACTATCTTTCATCACAGAATGATAACAGTCAAAGAATCTAGTGGAAAAAAATAGTAAAGTCTCAAACAATTTGTAATCTTACTTCATGACTAGGTATCAAAGGTATACATCCACAACCCTACTCTAAATCAAACTCAATATCATTATGTCCAATGAAAGATGAATCATTCAGTCAGTCGAGAATTGTATGATCGATGTGCTCAATGTTAACAAACTGACGTTATAATAAGATCATTCGTTAATACCAGGGATTGACGAAACTTTAACTCTTAACTTTGAATGAACGTATAGTATCAACTCCAAATAAAAGTTAACGAAACCAGGTAAAATATGAATTTAATTAAGTTAATTCCATTAAAATGTTTCAACTAGTTGGATATATTACTTTACAAAAAAATCTTGTTACATTGTTAAAATAAATAAATATGAAGTTAAACTATAAGAAAATCATCATGCTGAGGTAAAGCTGTGCTTGACATTTTCTTTTCAACTAATTAAGAAAAGATTAAGAATTGCTACATTAAACATAGTAGGTGACTTTATTTAATGGCAATCATTAAACAATGTCATGGTACATATTGAACATGACAGTTTTATTTTAAACTTTTACGTAGTTAAATATAATTCTTATTATTGAACCATTATTATAACGTATATACATATACTGTATATATATGTAAATCATATTGGATACCGGTTTAGTGGTCTAGAGATTAAGCGTTCGCACACAAGACCAAAGGTCTTCAGCTCGAATCCCGCGGGTGGGATCATAGATGTGCACTGTTGAATAGTCGCATACTAGGACGAAACGGTCGTTCAGTGCTTTCAGGTTTTTCATAGTAATCTAGTTTTAATCAACTCATGAATTCAATTAATAAATTACTACAAATTCCACAAAACCCCCTTCCTGATATTGTGTAAATCGCATAACATAGATGATTATCTTTAAGAAAGAAAAGGAATCATTATGAGTTGTACTGTATATTTCTTAATATCGACAAGTGAAATTCACACACAATATTAAATCTAACAAATTCGATCAACATTTCAACATGGAAATCTAAATGACTTCAAGTAGTGTTGGGAAAATCATAGTGGATAGGGTATTAATCATTAATACATCAAACAAACACAATATGAAGTGTTATGCAACTGAAGGAAAGAATTGATACTTGAGATTGTTTGTCAAGCTCAATCGGTGAATGACTAGAACTACAATAAATGAGTAGATTAATAATTATATAGATATTATGAAGATAATATTTCTTCTCAAGTCAAAATTATTAACTTACTGCTTCTGAACGTAATTCAGTTGTTATTAATGCTCTCAATGGATATCTTTCAGATTCAGTAACACCTCCAGCACGAATAACCCGTTCTAACGATTGATGAATAACAAAATAACCATAACTCCATGTAGTTAACAATCGAAGCATATCTTTCACAGCATTCGATTCATATTGGTTTAAATTAGAAAAGCTTATTTTATGCAAAAGACTTAAGGATTGGTTACATAGTAGATAATTACGTTCGCATAAATTACGTAAATGCTTTAACTGTTGTAACATGACACGTAATTGATCAGATTGATGTGAAATGTTAAATGTGTTATCAATTAATTCTAAGGAAAATACACGATAGTGATCAGGAATATAGTGTAAACTGTATTCCAATTGTTTTAAAAGTAGTGTAATTAGGTTATGATTAGAATCATGTAGCGTAGACTTGGCATTATCCATGGATGACACAATAAACTTTTCAATGTATATGTTTAAATATCGTTTCAATTCTTGTAATGTTTGAGTGAATTGTTTACTAGTCAAAGAGGATGATGTTTCTAGTTGGACATTACACTTCTCTTGAATTATATCTGCATCACATAATAAAGACCAAAGTATAGCAAAATGAAATTCTTTGTCTAAAAATTGGTATTTTTTTGATTGTTGGTTATTCTGAGAAGGTGAAGATCCCGAATTAGGAATTAGATTATGTAACCTAACAATAAAAAATAATTTAAAAATTGATGTTACTATCATCCAATTGATTATGATCATAAAATTGATTAAAATCAATAATGTTAATCACGGTAGAAATTATTCCTATACACATGTACACATTGCATGTATATATCCCTAGGGTTTTAGATATTTTGATGTAACTCTTTCTTTTACATGAATTTCTAATGCTAAACATTTGAAAACACCTTAGGCCATCATTTAGAAGGAAGGGGATGTACAATGAAGAATGAGTATTAGTGTATGACTTCAAGATGTCCACATCTCGAAAAGACACTTGCATTATATTCTACATGGTATTTATTTTCATTTATTGACAGAAAATTTAATTCCCTGTAAGTTATACTAGTGTTTCGATACATACATGTAAAAATTAATAACCCGGTCGTAGGCTTTTCAGTGAAGTATTGGATAACATGAGTCCGATTTTTCAAGAAAGCATGGGTTTCTACAAAGCTGAAAGTATAACTTGGTAATGGAAACAGAAAAAAAGTATATCACATCGTAGAATATCACCTCACTTGATTTAATGATCAAGTTAATCAATAAACTAGATACAATGATATCGATTATGAATTGCTGTTAAACTTTATAAGAATTAAGGACCTATTGACCTGAAAGTTTATCCACAAGTCAATTAAGTATGCTTTTGCTTCATTAGTTCTCGTCAACACAGCCAATCTTACAAAAAGGATGACCGGATAACTAAGATACAACAGCTATCAACTAGCTTCTGGTTCAGTTGATGAAAACTAATTTCAAATTGAACAACCTCTATGAATTCTGAAGATGATTATTGATTATATCATCACTAGTGATGATCTTCGAGAATGATTCCTGAATTAGAAGTGAAAAGTTGTTAACGATAGAGTGCAAATATTTAGAGACTGGGATAGCCGACACCGGTGACAATGGATGATTTTTACATTATATCATAAGTTGACTGAAGTCGAAAAGATAGACTATGCGATTGTAGCTCAGCGATTAGAAGATAATACTCAAACAATATGGTCTGAAGGTTCTTAATTCCATCCCATATACGGTTGTGAATAGGCTGTACTGAAGAGTCTTACACCATTAGGAAACAGCTATCCACTGACTCCTGGTTCTTAATGGCTTATATTAGAAACTGACTTTGAACCAAAAAGATTGGAAAAGGAGAAAATATCACTTCATTTTTCTCAGTCGGGTTTTATTTGAAATCAAGAATCGATCAAAGTTAAACATCCACTGAAAACCTGGAAGCGTCGAGTAGCTGTTCCATCCTAGTGTGGGAAACATTAGCAGTGCTCATCCAGGATTCTGCACGCGGGACTCAAACCCAGGAGTCTTAGTCTCATACGAACGCTAAACCTTAAAATCACTGAGGTGGGATCCAGTGGTGTTAATGTCTAACTTTAATCAATCCACGACCATTTTGCATTGCCTTCGGTGGGTAAATGCCTCACAGTCCACATGATTGAACTTTACTGGTCATGGCTTCACCTCAGAACTCCAAGAATTACCTCTCGAAGCTAGTCACTAGTGAGTACATGATCATTTGTATTGATTCGGGATTATCTCTTTGCTGATATTTCAACTGAACTTTAATCAGTCAGTATGTCCTGAGAGGTTATCCTCAGTAATACTACATAATCACAAGTATTCATATAAGTAAGCATAGTAGATAACAGTGAGATCAAGGACTTAAATTGTGTCACGTCTAAAACTCATCAGTTGCATGTATCTGCATACCAAAGTTGATGCTCACTTCCAGATCCATGTAAATTATCAACTATTACAAATTGAACTAAAATTCATATTCGTTGCATATGCGAGTATCCCAACTAGAAACATTAACTAAACTGAATAATGCATTGTGTGTTTTTTAAAAAAAACACTGAGTGCGAAACCTAGAGTAGACATAAATTCTAATTTGAAGGTTCATTCAACTGACAGGTCCTAAAAAGAACGAAACAACATAGGTCCTACATTCCACTGCTAGCCCTAAAATTCCATCTACAAACTTGTTAAGCAGTCAATTCTCCAAAAATATTCATCTTTATATACATAAACATATATATCAACATAATGAATGTTGTGGATAAATCAAGCATCATAACGATTATATCAATATGTGAAGAATTCAGTAATTTATTGTAAACTATATTTATATCATAACTAAAATTATCTATGGTTTTTACATTATAATAAATATGAATTCATACCGAGAGATGATAAAAGACAACACTATCACTTCATAGCAGGTGTAAATTATTTATAATTTGTTTTTGTTGAGAAAAAAAAAGATCTACAGATCTACACATAACAGAGTTGAGTATGACATGAAATTCCTTTACATCATTGTTGTGTATCTAGTAAAGGGTATATTTTAAAGAATCCTACCAATTTATGATTAGTTGCTATGGTGAAAGTAATTTATTTGAATTTTGTAAATGGTACATGAATAATTTACACTTTACTTTTACGTCGCTATTTTTTTCTTTTCTTATTCGAGAAAATACAACGAGACTAACTTGTTTATTTTCTAAATATACCAAGATTTTCGTTAATTTTAATAGAATAAATTCTTTATTTAATAATATGATACATTAATTCATCTGGGAAGATGCCATGAATCAGTGTAAATCGTAACATACGACAATGTGTAATGCATCTTTTTTCTTCAAATATTCTTGGAATGAGTCAATCGAAGTATAGTTTTGAAAACCGATTGAGAAAAAAAAACAATCCTTCTTTTCTCATAGTTTTAAATGTTTTTTTAAACCTGACTACTTTAGGTTTACAATAATAAGCGATTGTCTATGTTTAATTATGATTGTTGTCAAAGCATGGTTCATATCTGGTAACCATATACTATCATTAATATCCAAATTCGACAACATATGTTCAGGGACAGTGAGATGATCATTTAACTAAAAATACAATTTTAAAACGTTGAATTTAGTGGACCTTCCTCGTTTTAAGAACGTTATCCTAATAGTCCCCATTGTGTGCGTTACTTGTTGCTACTCTGGATGTATGAGAACATTGGAGGGGAAAAAAGACTTCCTACTACATATCTACTAAATTAAAGGCTAGTTTATATCAGAGAGTAAAATAAGATTGTGAACCACTGTAAACCGGACATGGTATTGAACATGTGTATCTGAGACACCTCAAAAGAAACTTTGCAAACCACGATGGATCAAACTAAGGATATTCAGGTCCTGTGGCAAAGACGATATGCTTATATTAGTGAATTAAAGCTTAACGAACCTAATTTCCAACTTTAGACTATCATTTAATGCCGGCAGTAACGAATGTCTAACTTCCCATATATTAGTAAATTAATAAAAATATTAACGACATGGTGAAACCTTAAATGATTACCACTAATATATTTCAACCAAAATTAAAAACATCAACATTTTCAGGTCAATATTAGAGTGACATAAAATCAATTGGTTGATATATTATAAGGCAGCCAAATCAATAAACTTGGGTGAAAACTACTAACTAACAACGATCTAATAGGTAAAAACAAAATTAACCGGCTATCCTACTTTATTAATATTTTGTCATTAATACATTTAAATCGATTAATGAATTCATTTACAGTTACAGACATAGGAAGGTTAAAAAATAACTAAGCGCTTATGGCAGTGAAACAAGGCCGGTAAGAGTAGAGGATATTCGTAGGTTACTAGTATTCGATCACAGGTGTCTTCGAAACCTTGCTCGTATATCCTGGGACCACGGAGTAAGCAATGCAGTTGTTAGGAAACGGGTACTAGGTAAGGATGGCAAATCAATTGATGAAGTAGTGGAAATTCATCAGTTGAGATGGCTGGGACATGTGTTACGTATGCCCAACCACTGACTGCCCCAACGAGTCATCTTTTATGGTGTTGGAGTAGGTTGGAAGAAAGCTAGGGGTGGCCAGACCAAAATATGGCACAAATCCATGAAGTCACTGACAAGTGGACTGAGTCATGTTGGTATGTGCAGACTACCCGGTTGTTAACCGTGAGATGATGGCAACAGATGGTTAGAGACCTTGAATGACATGGCTCAAAATCGTTTGCAATGGTGCAGGTGCATCCACTTTTTGTGTTCTCCCAAATTCTAATCTTCCGAATTCTTCATGTCCCTTTCTTTTTTCCCTTTCTAAATTTATTTCACTGGATTATACTCCTTGAATAACATCTTCAAACCCTAATCTTTCCGATTCTTCTTATACTCTTACTACCTCTAGCACTACGGGATTTGAGTCGAAAACTGCATCTCTGTGCTAATGTGGTATGGCAACTCGGACTGATGTACGTACTTACGAGGTTCTACGTTGTTACTGACTGCCTGCCTGACTTAAGAAGCATAACTCTACTATATATTTCTTTTTGAACCGATTGAGAATAAAAATAGAATTTTAAGATAGGAATAAATTCATTTAAGATATCTATCAAAAAGGAACGAATATTTTAGAAAATATAAGTTTCAGAACTATGTTGCACAAGATTATTGTTTACATTTTTGTGGTATAATTACTAAATATTTGAACTATTGTCTTTGTACTTTCCTATTTTTTTATTTTTATTTGATGCATAAACTATCATTATATGTTGCACCTTTGTCGGGTAGTGGTTTTTGAGAGATTGAGCGTGGAAGAACTGCATTCTGGATCAATAGTTATTAAGTTTTGTTCTCGATTGTTATATCATTATGAACGAGTCAGTGGTTAACAGAAGGTCATTGATTCTATAGAGGCAGTCCAGGGAAAGTAATCAGTATGCTCATTTATTTACGGCTAGAATACACAGATCACAATATAATAAAATTCATTCTTTTTACCGTCACATCAATATCATAGCCACAGCTGTTAATTTCAAGTAGTCGAAAATTACACAGAGTTCTAAGTGCGTGAACATGGATTACATAAACAGAAGATTTAGATTATCTCGCCAATGATATTTATACTGAAATTTGATCAATCTTGGCTGGCATGTGTGCATCCTATATGAATCACCTCGATATAACCATTATAAAACAAGTTAATATAGAACAAATCCGGTCAGTAGTGGCATTCAGGATGCGCATTTAGTTCTGTTTGGAACTCGTCAACTGGATGTTGCACAACTTTTAAGCATAATGTATATTGGTTTTGATTATAGTTTGTAGTTTTCTGCGTTACTCAGTGTTTACTCAGCTAGCTTTTCATTATTATCCTGTTTTGAACGTCCTCTTAAGAATACATGTTAAAGTACTGTAAAAGTAGGTGCTGAAAATGTCGTTCAGAATGAAAATGGATGCTCCACAATTAAACCATCTAGCTCGGAGAACTCAAAATAAACAATAGTTGAGAGTATATGATAAACTCTTAAAGCAATCACCAATCAGCCATTAAATTACCAGTGAATAATACAGTTAAAATATACTCATCACGGCAAACACAAATTAATCTAATTCCAAAAGTACCGTTAATTACTATAAACAGTATTCACTACATATTTGGTTTTTACGAAAACACTGTTTCAAGACTATTTTTCATCGATCAGATAACAAATGGTTACTGAGAAAAAAAAAAGAAAACTTAGAAAAATTCTAAAAGCACCCTGATACGATACGTCTCTGTAACTAGTCTATACTGGACCACACAATTTTAAGGTCACTGATGAAATCGTTAGTGAGAAAAGAAAGGAAATTGGTAACACAAAAAGAGAGAGAAGCCAAACCAAATGATATATATACATATCATATATATTATTTATTAAATATACTGAATATATATAAATATATATCTTTATACTTACACTTTACATTCACCAATACAATTTGAAACATAATCACACCAATCATTAATTGTATGAATTTGTACATTGTTACGGTATTGATGCATTTTCTCAGTCCATTGATTAATCACTAGCCGATATATCTCTTGTAAACGATAAATCCATGCTTCCAACCAATCAGTTATACCAATATTTTCAGTTTTATTAAAGTATTCATTTGATAAATTATCAATTGCAGTTAATTCAATCCAAATTTGATGACTTAAATGACGAATAGAAAGTTCAAAATTATACAATTCCAATTCTGTCCAACTATGTGATTGAGAAGCATTTTCTAACTGATTGAATAGTTCTATAGAGAGTTATATACAAAACCAAAATAAATGATAAGTATTTTGATATAGTTTAAAATGACATAAGTGACGAGACTATAATTTATGGGCGAACCAATTATATTTAAGATAGTAGGCCTTGAATTTTGGCGCAAAATTCATCCACTCCATGTCTGTTCGAGATGAAAACATCAAATTTAATTCTTAACTCTAAAGCTCAACAGTAAATCCTAATTTCTCACACTAATCTAGTCTAAAGCAATTATTCCCTTTGATAAATTTTGATAATGTAATAAGAAGACGAAGATTATCAGAATTATGTGATATATTAGCGTAATACATTTCGAACAATCTGATCACACATATATATGTTAAGAGTATTTATATATAAAAATAAAAAGTCAACTAAAGAGGAAGAATGGTATTTGTAAAATCTCTGCGAAAGAATTTGAAGTAAATCCAACGTTTCGCCTGGCAATCTGGTCCAAGCTTTTTCAAGGAAAATATAATCAAACAACAAAATGATCGAATATAAATAGGTACGTTGGATTTACTTCAAATTCTTTCGCAGAGATTTTACAAATACATTCTTCCTCTTTAATGTCTCATATTAACTCGGCGTCCAAATATTGTGAGAGTATTCGTTCAAATTTAGACGAAAGTTCTTATTTAAAAGGTCAACTAGACTGGAAATGGGGTAAGAGGAGATGAGGATAATAATAAGGGCGATGTGAACACAATTCAAAACTTAATCATTCTGGCTAATAGGTCGATATTACCAGGGTAGGTTTAAGGTTTGTTGTAGTCTAGTTGACCTTTTATTTTTATATATAAATACTCTTAACATGCATATGTGTGATCAGATTGTTCGAAATGTATTACGCTAATATATCACATAATTCTGATGATCTTTGTAATCTTTAATCCTCGCTTAACCCTAGCAAGTAGGTAGACATTCTAAAGTCATTTTGGCGTTGCTCAAAGGTTGTCAATAAATTATAGTCTTACCCTATACATTCGCAGGAATTCTTTCTTTTCAAGAAATTTTTCATAAAAAAAATTTGTAAAAAAAATAGAGCATCTGATGTGATAATACTAGCAATTTCTATATTAATGATTGAGATACAGAAATTAATTGTAGTACAATGATTCGTCTATAATGATCAATGACACACGCCTTTTGCCAATTATCTCTTCTTATCAACAACATCACGTTTATGGTCTCTTAAGGTCCTTATAATGTGAGATTATTACTGAAAATTCTTGTTATTAACAACAAACTGAGGATTAGAAATATGTCTAGCTCAGATTCCTAGATCCAAGCTAATAATTAAAACTGATATTTATGAGATGAGTTGTTATAACGGAACGGTTATTGTAGAAGTAGGAAGTGGTTTTTCGAATTATAATTATAATTTTGTCATAAAATTGCTGAGTAACTGGTTTACTATATATATATATATATATCCATTTATTGTAAGCTCTCTGTTAACTCATTAACTCTGTAATATGACTTACTATTCCTGTTTTATTGCCAGTCTACTAATTGTATTCTACCCTGTTCATAACCACTTTTGGTTTGTTTATGTATAATTGTTATTTTTTATTCTATGGTGTGATGTGATCTGATATGTCTGTATATAAACCACGTCTGTTTGGAATATAAATACTATGGAGGTTGGTTTCTACTTCTGAATCCAAGGAAAGTCATGCAGAAGAGTTTGCGAATAACGGACCAATCAGAACCTAGTTGTCAGCTCAATAAAGATATTGCCGATCGAGAGTGTAACTAGTCAAACTGGGGACATTGAGCTATCAAAGAAACTAGTAGACGCGAAATAGATCAAATTAGAATCAGGATTATGAGTGGTGATAATATAATCTCATTTAATGAACGTGTATACACCATAGAACGATTAATATAGGTTTCAAACCTGCCAAATGCAAAATGATACTTTACGAATGGTCATTTTCAACACTGAACTTAGGAATGAATAAAGTTGTTGATGATACTTTTCAGTAATGAATTGACCTTTAGAGACTGAATATTAATCTTTTGAGGTGTAACTACAATTATAACTAGTGTTTTAGTAAAGCATTCAACTTTTTATCGACTAGCAAATAAATAACTGTAATTTTCAATCAGTATGGCTATAAAATACGATCATTAAGAATGAATCACAGATTTATGAAGGAATTTCCTATGAAAATAAGTAAATATTTTCAACTGAGGAGTCAGGAAAATTACAAGACAAGAAATTCTTTTGAAATATTTACAACAGTTCATCAACAAAATTTATATTCCCAAATAATTTTGTTTAAACAAAGAATAAAAACAAACCTATTAAAGAATTAGACGAATCCCATAATCCACCGGGTCTACGTATAATCTGTTTTAAAAACCCAAGACAAGTATACTGTTCAAATGCACGTGATGAAGTGGATCTCATTTCATTGATTAATTCTTCCCAGATTTTTTGTTGTTTAAATGTCTTTATTACAGAAGAATGACTAGATGATAGGGACGATGAAGATGATGATGATAAGACGTGAAGAAAATCGGCTAGAACCCTCAGTTCATTGAAATTTTCCTAACAAAATAAAGAGGAAAATCGATGAAAACTGATGAATACACATGATCTATTCATTAGTAATGGAACAATATTCTGTTCGGGGATTTCGATCCACAGTAAACAAAATTCAAACAGATAATCAATGTGTAAGATTTATAGAAAATGAAAAACATCTGTCTTGAATTTATAATTATTAATAGTATCATCTACGAAATAATTCTGTACATTAGTAATAACTACAAACTAAACTATTAGTGTTGTTGACCAATGTATTCCACTTTTTCAGGTGACTGTAGGCTAAAACCTATGATCTATAATTGTCTTTGAAATACATCAACAGTATATCTTTTAACTATGTCATACTAAGTAATACAACAATCTAACTAAATCTTTAAACTCTTGTTAACAAATGTTTTGTTTATCGGTATATGATTATGGAGATTGTTGAATTTCAATGAAATCATAAACCGATCTAAGTTATACAACTATTAAAAACCTGAAAGCATTGGATAGATCTTTCGTCTTACTATAGGACTAATTAGCAGTGCGTATCAATGACCTTACCACAGGGGATCGAAGTTAATACCTTTAGTCTTGCGCGTCAACGCTTAACCTGTAAACCAACGAGCTGGTATTCACAAGCGTGTACAAGTCTAACTTTGATCATTTCACGATACTGAGTGAGATAAGTTCGTGGTTTCAGTAATGTAGGGTTTTTTATGTTTTTCAAAAAAGACATTGGTTTAACATGTACAATAATCAATATTCACTTGTCTAGTAAGTTAAATAAAAGGAGAATAAAGAGAAATTTTGAACCTAAGCTAAACCATTTACATTTGAACTGGTTGAGTACTCAGTGGCAATTTTAAAGTGTAATCTTCAATAACATTTTTGTCTTTTCGAATTGTACTTCGTAGTCATTTTTACTCACTTTAATGTCTGATTAACAAAGCCCAATGTTCACAGATTGAACTCATGAGTCAGTTGAAGCTAGACCACCATTGAAAACCTGGAAGCACTGGACGGCCGTTTCGTCCTAGTATGGGACTCCTCAGCAGTGCGCATCCACGACCCCGCACCACCTGGGGCTCGAACCCAGGACCTACTGGCTTCGCGCGCGAGCACTTAACCATTAGACCACTGAGCCGGCATCCAACGGTGTTAATGTCTAACTTCAACCAATCCACGAAGTTGCGCTACCGTACACCATTGTCTTCAGTGAGTTCCTATCTCACAACAGTAGGTCCTGGGTTCGAGCCCCGGGTGGTGCGGGGTCGTGGATGCGCACTGCTGAGGAGTCCCATACTAGGACGAAACGGCCGTCCAGTGCTTCCAGGTTTTCAATGGTGGTCTAGCTTCAACTGACTCATGAGTTCAATCTGTGAAAACCCAATGTATTTTAGATCAATCTCTTTACAAGAGAGTAATTTAACGGATTTTTTAATGACTTAGCTTTACCCATAGTTTATTTTTATCACAGGTACATGAAATCCATCAGCGATGTTCTAATATGGTAGAGTTGTTCAGAACAAAGAAACCTGACTAGATTATATTATTAAACCAAGTAATTACTGAGAATTTGACAAACAATGTGCAAATTTCTCAGTTTAAATTGACACAAACTGCAAAAACCAATGTACATTTTCGTATAGTATTAGCGTATAGTTAACTTTATCCTACTCCATTAAGTTTCGTCGGCAAATTATGCAATCTACAAACCGTAGACAATATATTATCATCAATATACACTTTAACTGACATTCTGATTAAACTTTCACTGAAATATCTAGCAGTTATGTGATGATTTTAAAGAAAACAACTCAGCTCAAACTAACCTGTAAAATTTCACGTTCTTTATCAATGTTATTTATTTGTTCTTGTTGCCAGCTAGTGTTCAATAAATTACAATTATTCAACAGTGATAAATGCATGGTAGGATAATTAAAAGACTGACTAATAGAATTAGTATGAACACTGTCGTTTTTTACTATTGTAATTGACTGTGATTGTGACGGTGTTGCATCACTGACCGTAGTAACGAAACATTTCACTTCATTTAAATATGTTGTGAGACATTTTAAATATAATTTATTGAATCCATAAAATTGTTCCCATTTGTGATCATTATCATCATCATCATTATTATCACCATCGGTTATACCCAAGAATGATTTCTTATTGTTATCTACTTCATCTTGTTTCTCATTTCTACTGGAATAGTTGGAAGTACATAACTGTATTTGAGTGATTCATGAACATGAACGTTTGTTTTGTTTACGATAGAATAGTTGTAGATCCAATAAGAAAGGACAAAAAGCAGAGAAAATAAAGCATTGTCATGGATTTTTTTATTTATTCAAGAAACGATATGGATGTAATAGTTTTGAAAAAAGCCCAGTTAACTGGAAAGGTAGAAGAACCTGATTCGAGATACTTACCCCCTATGGAGGCAGCTAAAAATTGTTGTGAGTGCGTAAGACGGTGTAAAGTTCAAAAATAGGACAATGCTCCATGGTTTTCACTGAATCATCTGACTTCAAAAACATATATACTGTGAACTTCGAAGTTTTACCTCAGTGCGAATTCTTATGGAACACGCGTGTAAAACATGAATGATAAGTTTATGTTTACTAAGCGGGCCTAGTTGTCACCACTAATTATGTATCTATACAATACTGTAATGATACATTTATCATTCATGATATAGTGCAAGTCCACCTAAAATAAACTTGTCTTGTTTTCTCTACGGGTCTTAGTTTGAAATCTATTGTGCTTTCACAACTATCATGGTGTATGCTACTTATGTTGATAGATATAAGTAGTATGTAGCGCAGATGACAAGTGGATTGCCTGCCAGCAGAAGAGTGAATTAAAGATAACAGGAAGAGAAACAGAGAGGAATTGGAATATCAACCGAATGTGAAGGATGAAGTATGTACAGGACAACTGAAAGATGTGTAAATAATGTATGTAATGTATGACTTTTATATTTTATGAAAGCACTGTGTATGTGGCATTAAATAATAAATCTATCTTTCTCACCTGAGTTTTCGTTCACTACATTACGTGTACTACTATTTATCACTCTGCTTACTTATATGTTATCGTCATCGTTTTTACTCATATATCCATAAAGGACACTAGATTCATCATATTTTAGCTAGACTAAAAACTTTCGAACACATTAGGATATCATCGGAGCAGTGTGGTTTCTTTATAACACATATTGGTAGTTCCAAAGGTATCACACCCAATGAGGCCAACAGACTGCTAAAGATCCAATATCCAAATTGAAAATATTTCTTTTCCCTACCTTTATTCCGTGAAAAATACCTTTTCTTATCCTAGCACCCTTAAACTCTTCATAACCTATTCCTATGCTGGGCACCAAAACGTAAAACAGTAGTCAATGACTCAGACGCAAAATGCCCTTACTACCCTAATCGATACAGATTGGAGATATTTAAGTTCTATTTTCCATGTTTATCTCACGACAGTTATCCGAATAAGTGTAAACAATGTTTCACAGAAAGCTATAATTAAATACATATATCATTCCTATGTCCTTTACTTTCAATATCATGCTTTTAGCTGTAAAATATTACACTATTCATTAATACGCAGTCTAGTCGTCTTTGGTTAAGCCATAAGTCCGGGTGAAGAAAGAGTGACAAATTACACACAGGCTTTCTAGAATAAGCACTGAAATTTCGAAAGCTATCGACCGTGTAAAATCAATGAAATTTCCAAAATAAGTGAAAAACACCCTTGAATATCTCACCCTATTTAATTTAGCTAGACATTATCGAAGACAAATCTCTAAGCACTATTTTAATTTTGAAAGGAGAGAAGTGGATCCGAAACAATCATGAGTTGATCGATGTGATATTCAAGAGATTACATTTTGCTAGAATTTTCTTTAAATAAATCTATTCAATTTGGTGACCTCGAGTAAGTGAGAAATTTCCCATGTGAGCACCAGAAGAACTATGGCATACATTACTTATTTCGACAGACATACTTTATCTATTTATTTGAACACATAAATATTGGCACAAAGGAGCACGGAATACATATGCGTCACATAAGTCACTTGATTTGTGTGTGGGCTGTTATATTGCCCTGGTGCCCGAACCGAAGAAGGTATTTTTCTTAGGAGGCCACACTCAGAGTCCTCGACATACAGGTCTGATCCACAAGGCAATGGAGAAACGTAAGGAGATGCAGTCCCATTGTAGCTGGTGACCAACGATCGGTTCATACGCCATTTATTCCTTCAGGACACTGGAGTCCATGTGCACCACTGGTTTGGAATCAGGGGTTTTCAAACTCTCCGTGTCTACCAACCCAATTAAAGCGCCGGAAATTGGTTTTTTGCTCTCTCAATTGAGTAAACAACAGTAATATCGTGATAAGTCTGTGAGTAGGACTTCCCTGGCAGTAGTTGTGTGCACGCGGCCATGCGAGAGCTTTCCGAGAGGGAGAGAAAACCCTCCAGGCCGTACCAGGGCATTTGGAGAAAACCTGACAGCAGAAGGCTATGAAGGTTGACTTGAAGAGAACAGGAACGGAATTAGAAAGGAATAGTGAATCGGAAGAATCATACAGAATATGAAAGACAAATGATGGAATTTTTCAACTGAAGTATTTAATGTATGGTTCTTATATTTTACCATTATACTGTGTAATTTTGTATCAAAATACATTTGGTCGTTCTCGCCTATGTCTTCGTTCATTACAGAAAGAATAGTTACACATATGGGAAACATGGTAACAAAAAAATGAAAATGGTGATAGCTGACAGCTTCGATAGACATAGTGTGATGAAACCATTTTAGATACCAGTAAGCCGTAGGCTCTAATTTAATCAATAAAGTTTGAGTAGTTTCTAATAATATCACAAAACTATTTGTCCTTCATTCTAACAATTGACATTACTAAAGTATCTCTTAATCAGGAATAGTCTAACGAGCCCTATAAATAAGTACAACGATGAATGTTGACGACCAGTCAGATGAATTGCCATTCAGCCTCTTAAGTAGTAAATACTTCATTCAAATTAACTTAGACTCCAAAACCACTATTCTGAAAGGTTTCAAGAGCTAGACAGTTATGAACTTCTGCTAATATCAACTTTGTTAAGACTGTGATATGTGATATGAAGTTCTTATTCAATCTTTTGAATAACATCTGGCTACCGGTTGGACTGTGTTCCATCTGTTATTTCATTTGTGTAGTTCAAGATTGGATCACTATGCAATAACTTTTATTTTATTAAATGACTTATAATAAATACGAAGCTAAAATAAAACTAAACTATGCTACAGGCCTTGTAATATGTTGGCTAACTAATGTGAGATATACAGTTTTTGTAAATAAACTGTACATTACAAAAAAATAAGATTGTAAAGAATGTAGTTTTCGAATGTTAATGTTACGACGTTGATCTCATTTCCAAACAACTTAATTGTTCAACTAGTAGTGCGTTGTAAAATAATCTCATCTATGGGCTCCCTACCTTCTCCAAGTCAATTTCTGCACGTAGTTACAGAAGATACTATTTCTTAAGGCTATGTAAATGATCAACGATCATATTAGCGTCATCATTCAAATTAGTCAAACTACAAGATGTAATCAAAATTTAGTCTACGATTGAGTTTTAAATATCTCGCTTCAATTCAATAATCACCATCTTTATTCTGATTGGTCGTTTCTACTGATTGCAAGGCCTTTATTATAGTGTACTTTAAAATAAAAGTCATTTGATTAGCCTAATCATCAGACAGTTTTCATCATGTTATGTCAATCAGAAAATCAATTTATAAGTTCAGGCCTACGTGGGGTCGTGTGTTAGAAACACTGAGGCATCCAATACTATAAAGAAAACATCTGATCAACCTTGGTTTTCTAAAAGTCCTATTCATCTGATATCACGTTGTTAAAATTAACTTGAAATTAAATAAATCTTTCCATAAGTCACACATGAATTCTCACCAAGTATTATTTATCTTTATGTTTCTGTTAGGAATGTTAACATACAAAGCCCTTTTCATTGATAGTATAATAATACAAAATTAACAACTAATTATAAGTAGTACGCAAAACTATAACAAACTAGCGAAATAGTCACAAGTTTACAAAAAAAAACGTATCCACACGTTTACACATATATTTTCTGATAACCTGGTGTAAAATTTATGCAAAATCAATATTGTGTTCGATACATAACAACATATGTATATGACTAATAGGCATACATTCGGTCATTGTACAAAACTGACTCAGGGTATACACGCTTGCCAAAGTTAATTAAAAAGTTTTTATGAAATTTCACAAAATGATATAAATGAGGTAAGGGTGGTAGGAGTGAGATGGATAAAATGTACTGAAAAAGATAGTGACATTTGTACCGAATATATAATGGACACTAGAATCGATACGTTTGATATAATGTTTATAATCGAATTTTAACCGAACTTATTTACTGAAAACAAATTTATAAGTAAATTAACATCAGAAGGGGTTTGTGGAGATCTTTAGAAATTTCACAGATTGAAATCATGAGTCAATTGAAGCTAGACCACCATAGAAAACCTGGAAGCACTGGACGGTCGTTTCGTCATAGTATGGGACTCCTCAGGACGAAACGTCCGTCCAGTGCTTCAAGGTTTTCTATGGTGGTCTAGCTTCAATTGACTCATGATTTAAATCTGTGAAATAAATTAATGCAAAGGAAAGAAGGAACACTTGTAAAATAGTGAGTAGAAATTTCACTGAATGTTAAATTATATATTATTAATTTTATTCTATTTTGGACAACTGTTTCATACTAGTACGAGATTCCTTACGGTTAAGCAATCAAGATCTCATATAAGTTAGGACCCAGGGGCTACAGAGATCAAGGTTAATAGAATATGTTCAAAATAATAAGTTGGAATGAGTTTATATTTTCAACTAAAGCCAATTCGCCATGCAGAGTGACTGTTAACCAATGTCACTGTTCTATTCTTAACTAGATGTCAGTGTCTTTGATAAAAACTGACTTCAAATTGGATTAATCTAACAATCCTCTCATTTTAGTAGTTTCACCAATAAAAACAAAGGGGATTCAGCGACGGAAATTTTCCTTCCGATGAAATCATTGTAAAGTTGTACATTCGTATTTATAGTTATATGGTGAATATATGTCTACAGAACGATAGAAAAAATTACATTATAAGTTGATTCGAGACTC